CAGAAGAGACAGTCTGAGGCAGGAGCTTGGCTGTGCCACCAAAGAGAAGCTCAAAGGACCAAACTGCAGAGCCAGGGGATATTGGGGATGAGTGCTGGGACACCACCAGCAGCCTTTGCCCAGAGAGATTCACACTCAGGTCCAGTTCTGCCACAGACAGGGGGTCCTGAATGCCCGAGTGGAACAACTGCTCACAGCTGGGGCTGAGCTGAAATTTAATTTTTTCTGGCTTAATTTACCTGAATTTACCCTAGGCTTTCCAAAGGACTAGTTTGTAACTAAAGCCAAGGATCAGTTGCACTGACAGCTGCGTGGTCTCATGTACAGCCACTCCACAGCAAAAAGTCTTCAAAGGAAAAGCCAGAGATTGCCTTGGCAGATGATGGACCACTGGCACAGCATCGTGGCTGTGTCCCTCAGGGTTATAAAGGGCTGGTGGGTCACTGGTGTGCCACGAGCCACATTCTGAGGAGGCAATAATCTGCATACAAACCAGGGAGGCCAAGGCTGCCCCAGGGAGCTGGCCCCGGGTTAGGTGAGGGATAGGGCACTGCTTTCTGGGGGAAAGCCGGAACTCCCCCAGGGAGGATCCCACAGAGCCTGGTAGGATCCCACAGAACCCCGCAGGATCCCACAGAACCCAGCAGGATCCCACGGGGCCCGGTAGGAACCCACAGAACCCGCAGGAATCCCCAGAGCCCAGCAGGATCCCACAGAACCCCACAGGACCCCACAGAATCCTGCAGGATCCCACAGAGACCAGCAGGATCCCACAGAGCCTGGCAGGAAACCACAGAGCCCGGCAGGAACCCACAGAGCCCGGCAGGAACCCACAGAGCCCGGCAGGACCCACAGAACCCCGCAGGATCCCACAGAGCCCCACAGGATCCCACAGAACAGTCACTCCCAGCCCCAGTCCCAGTCCGGCTGTCTCTGTACAGAACAGTCGCTCCCAGCCCCGGTCCCTGTCCGGCTGTCTCTGTACAGAACAGTCGCTCCCAGCCCCGATCCCTGTCCAGCTGTCCCTGTACAGAACAGTCACTCCCAGCCCCAGTCCCTGTCCGGCTGTCCCTGTACAGAACAGGCAGCCTGGCCCCGCACAACCCACGCCGTTCCCTGCTGGCGAAGCTCCACGCTCGGCTGCCTGGCGAGGGTTCGGGGTGCGCTTGAGGAAACGAGATGGGAGGAAACACGATTTTAGTGCAGGAAAAAGTCTCCCAGAGCTGCATCCACACAGCCTGGAGAGCGCCGGCACCACGCCTGCCCTGAGCCTTCGCTGGATCCCACAAAGGGGCATCGAGCGTTGGAAAAAGCAGGAAAAACCCCAAGGATCTGGAGGGATCTTTCTTGTGCCCGTCTAAGGCTGGTTTTGGCTGTGAGGAGGAATTGCTAAAGTGCAGTGCAAGCACAAGCACAGGGGACAGGCATCAGGCCTCGCTCCTCATCATGGATCTTCCCCCTCAATTCCATTAATTAAAGACAAGCTATTACTGCCCAGCAGCAGCTCTGCTGGTGCTAAGTATTATTAGTGCAAAAGTGAGGAGAGACTTGCTTTACTATCAGAGAGGCTTTGAATTTCTGGTAAATAAAGCAACCCTTTCCAGTCCTGCCCCACAGGATTGATTTCCTAAGGAGCAGGCAGGAGCCAGAGCAGCGAGCACTGAGCACACCCTCCCAGATGCCATCACCTCTGAAGGGGCTGAGCCATCTTCTGCAGAAAAATAAGGTGGCAAAAGATCAAACACATCACGGTGCATTTTGAAACTGGGAATTGAGTGGGGGGAAAAAATGATGTTGTTTAAAATCCACTAGTGTATCCAACACTGACCCCACACAGGATGAAATTTTCCTTTTAAATATTAAGTCACAGTGGGAAGGAACAAAACCAAGAACCAAAACAAGCAAACAAACAACCTCCCTCTTCACTGCCCCCACAAGAAAAAAACATTGGTGGGGAGAAAAGAGCCCAACCTGCTGCTCAGGGAAATAAAAATCCCAAGGTGGGAGTGGGGAGATTTCTGGGAAACCATTGACGTTTTTGATGAATGAGCTTTCTGTGGGTGGTTGATGTAGAGGAGAAGGGTAAGAAACACAGACATGATTTATTCTCAAGCAAAATGATGAGACTAAAGGTCTCCTGACTCAACACTTCTCCTGACTCAAGAATTCATCTTTTTGTTTTCTGCCTTTGCAGATTCTGCTGGATGCCAGGGAAAGCCAAGCGATTTGCGCACTTCCCCATCAACAGCACGGTCTGTTTAGGCTCCAAGGCAACAAACCCAATTTAAAGCCTACCTTTAAAAGCTGAACTAGATGTGCTTAAGATTACACCTTAATTCCATATTTAACTTGATCCAAGATAAGCACAGTGATGAACTGAAGCCCCAGTAAATGTCTACCTACATACGCACATCCCCTTATTGGGGAGGAAGATCTGCACAGGATGCTTTAGCTGATTAAAAAGTATAAAATCCTAAGTGGGAGCATTTCCTGTGATTCCTCAGGTGTTTTGTTGGTTCTTAGTGGTTGAGGAAGTTAAAACCTTTGGGTGTCTGAAAGGCGGTGAGGTCAGAGGTTCAGCCCACAACACAAAGGTGTGTGAAAGATCAGAGAATCATGGAATAGGATTGGAAAGGACCTTAAAGTCCATCCCATCCCACGCCCTGCCATGGGCAGGGACACCTCCCACCGTCCCAGGTTGCTCCAAGCCCTGTCCAGCCTGGCCTTGGGCACTTGCAGGGATCCAGGGGCAGCCACAACTGCTCTGGGCAGCCTGTGACTCATTATACAGAGCTAAGAAGAATTGAGTGTGGCCTTACCAACACCTGGATGTGATGATCCAGCTGTGAGGAGATGCCAATAAAGTGTTTTGGAAATGAGCCCCTAAGAGAAGAACTGACAAACATTTGCAGGCACTTCAATTCACATCTCCTTAGGTTTCATAAAACTGACTTTTTCCATGCAACGCAAGTTTAAATATTTGTTATTTGCACTGCAAATGTTAAGGAAAAAAAACTCCAAAATGCAATAAGATTTATGCAGTAAGATTATGGAAAGTCAGACAGTAAAATGGGGAATGGAAAGAAGAAACCAGCTGAAAAAAAAAATTCATTGCTGTTGTCAGGAAAGGATTAGAAGGAAAAACTCCCCAGCCAAATGCTCAGTGCTTGTGAGGAAAGACCCCATCTTTGACACAGACCAGTTATCTCTTCTCCCCCTCTTTCCCATGCTCCCTAAATCCAAACATTGATTTTTTTTATATTCAAGGAATGGGAATATCTAAATGCTAAGTACCACTACAAAACTGCCCAAGATTCCCAACTATTTATCAGGAATGCTTGTGGATGTTTCCAGTTGGAGATAAAAGAGAGTTTGGGGTTTTTTGTCCCAAGTATTTATTCCTGCATACCCACATGTGAGGGCCACTGCAGTCTGGGCTGGAGCTGGTACCAGCTTTGTATTATTTGTTCTTTCTTAGGTAAAAATCAGGAAAGATTTTACTGCAGAATAGACCTGATTACATTAGCCCTGACCATCATGGAAAGAATGAGCTTTAATCTCACTTCCTTCACCTCTTACTTATTCACAGTGGATTTCTCTCTTATTCACTTGAATCAGGGTTGACTACTTTGCTTTAAAAGCAGAGCTGAGGCGGTTCAGACTTCAGCTTCCCCCTACAAAACCCTGTTTTTTTCCTGTTTTTCCAGGCCATGTTACCAACAGACATTCTTTGTTCCAGTTATTATCCAGCCCAGCCTCCTGGTCCAGTGCTGAAAACCAACCTCTTTACATATACTAATGTGTTTTCCAACATTCTAGAGCTTTCCCTAAAGGCCAGGACATGCTTTTCAAGGCTCCCACAGTTGTGGTTTTGTCCCCTGGAAACAGGAATTATGCTTGTCCTGGTGCTTCCCCAGCAGACTCAACATCATTCACTTCAGGTTGGATTCACCATTGAAAAGGGGAAGGAGTAAATCAGATTATTGAGATTTTTCTGCCCCAGTGTGCCCAGATTTTATAGCAGGGTATTCCAGGGATTATTCCAGGTTTAAAATGGTATAAACAGGCAGGTATTTGTGAAGGTACAAAACTCACTGCAAATACCAGACCTGAGCTGGGCTGTGAAAACACAGGGATTGGGCCAGTTCTGTTTTAAACACAGCTCAGCCTTCTCCTAAAAGCAGATTTTTTAAGTCACCCACCTCTAAGATAGCTTGCAGCCTACTTTTGATCTCTTGGAAGAAAACCAGTCATGAAGAACTTGACCTGAAAAGCAGATCCAAAGTGCTACAGATGTACCCTCTGTTACATTCCAGTGCCTGGCCCCATGCTACATTTCAGAGCAATTACACTGATTTTTTTTCAGGTTTATCCTCTGAATCCTCAAACCTCAGGGAACAGTCCTTGCTCTCCCACACCCTCACAATCCTATTATTTATTTGTGTTTAATAAAATTTCCTCATTAGAACATTCTCCAAGGAAACAATTTGCAGCTTTAGGCAAATACAGGAAGATGTTGACTTGACACAGCTCTTTCCTCGAGCCAAACCCAAAGCAAACAAACTTTTCAGTTAAACCCACTGGAGCAGGTAGGCACAAGAACCTCTGCTGATAAACATCACTAATTAGAATCAACACCTACTAATACAAATCTCAGCTTTACAGGAGACATCTGAGGCCTCCAGATGTGTGTTTCAGGTCTCAAAGTAAATATACACAGGCACTGAAACCAATGGATATCCACGGGAAAACTGAATTTTCAGGGTAAGGCCACTGGAATGTAAACAGCAGGGCTGGAATTTCAGAGATGACTCCAGAAGTCTGGTTCCTGCATAGCTCGATGTAATATCAGATATTTGCCAACCACATGAGGACAAGCAGGTTTGCTTACAGGCATGAAAAATTAGGGTTCCTAAGAAAAACCCTGGATCTCACTACAAACTCCAACATTAAACATTCAGTGAGCAGAGCAGAAAAACAAACAAAAAACAGACACCGTGTTGTACTTTTTTTGATTTTATAGAATTTTTACAATATATTTCTCTTCATTTGCATATTTTACCCACATCTGTAGCTTTCTTTTTACATGTTGAACTGAACTGGAATAAATCTAAAGGTCTGATATATTTTAAACAACTGATAAAAATTGCAAAGTAGTAAACCTGTAAGAAAAGAAATTATAAAACTCTTGTTTTTAAGTGTTTAATGAAAGCAAGTCAAATGTATCATTAGGAACAATATGATTTGTTTTAAACACATCATAGGTGATTCAGGCAGGACAAATTTTTTAGTTTTTCTTATATTAGGCACATTTTTTTTCATCATACCTGTTTTCCAGACAGTTTTATACAATTCAATAGCATCATTCACATCCACTTAGAACTTCTGCATAATTTTCAAAACGTGATTGATCATGAATATTCATTATTGGTATTCTATTCCTTTTTCTTTAGCGCTACCAGAAGGAAAAAAAATAATCAGTGTTTCTTGTCTGTTAAAAAATCCATAATTAATGATTTGAGTTATAAGGCAGCAACAGATTCAGTGTCAACTCAGGTCACAGTCCTTCAGTTCCATCTAGTGGGTAGAAATTATATTTAGTGGACACTGTTCCTAGACAGTTCCTTCAGGGCAAGATGACTGACTCACGAGGCCAGTCACTGCTGGTAGAGTAAGTTGAGTGGTAATGCCTAGCAAGGAATTCTGGCCACTCCTGTGTCATCCTTGCAGCCTCATGTCTTCATCCAGAAAGCAAAAGGACAGTCCAACAGAAAAAAAACGTGACTGTGACAGAGCTGTGACAGATTCTATGAATGGTTTATTTACAGTCTTCATCCCTGATGTGAGAAAAGAAAAATCCTTCTTTGACTGACAGGGCTGATGTCAGCAGCTGCACAGCTCAGCACAGCAGCCCAGTGCAGATCTGTGATTCCTCAGCCATGGATGCCCACAGAGGCAGTGAAGAGGAAATCCTCCTGCTCCAGAGAAGCAATTCCCAAGTGCTCACCTGCCCCATCCACCTGACTCCCTAACATCAGTTTAGGAACATCTCCTTCTGCTGGAGCAGCTCCCTCTGCCCAGGATCTGTTCAGCAATGAGAAGGTGTGAAGCACTTGGCTCCCCAGGGATCTCTGCCAGCCCAGCAGGGAGGCTGCAAACTCAAATACCTTGTGTGGGAACAGCATGATCTGTGCATTAAAGGTACACCACAACCTTGATAATTCCCTTCCCATCCTGATGTCTTTAAGGAAATCAACTCATGATGCTCAAGGAGGGCTTTCAGAGCAGCATCTCTCTGCTTCCTCTCAGTCTTTCACAATATACTACACTTTTCCTGAACCCTGGCATTCTCCTTTGCTAAGAGAGCCACTCCATCCCTGAAAGCATGGTGCTACTTGGTCTTCAGTTTTAAGTCTTTCAAGCAGAATAATCCCATTCTGATTCAAGCACTCGCTGTGCACTCACTTGGCTGAACAGAAATCAAAACAAAACTTTACAGCACAAGAGGCCATAAAAAAAAAAAAAAAATCCAAGGGATGTATTACTGCATGCTTCCCTCTCAGAGGGAGATTGGGCCACCCTGACACTCCAGCCCCAGCTGAGAAGACCATCAGTTCAGAGGACACTCCCCAAAGCAGGGCTCCTGTGCACTGGTATTTGGACACCACTCACATTTTGGACAAGCAGGGTCAATAAATACATTTCCTTCTGACAGAGCCACTGCTTCACACAACTTACATTCAATTACTATTAGAGCTTTTGGCTGCTTTTTTTTTTTCTATTCTCCAGTGTTGGGGTGAAGAAGCAAAAAAGAAAATATTTAGCATTAAAAGTAATCTGAATTTATAATTGACAACACCAGCTCTACAAACTGTGCAGTGGTACACAAAATACACCCCCAAATCTTTCTGTATTCTTTTTAGCTCTTTGGAAAGGGAATAACCAATATAGCTGTGCAGGAAGAAAGCCAATTTATTGCAGCACAGAAGATCTGCAATTCGTTCCATGTTCACTAAGAGAAATGTGGTTATTGCTCTGTAAAATAAGAGTGGATTGATCATTAACCCCACCCTGAGTGCTGGGAGTCTGAGATCCCAACATTGCCAAGGACCTCCTAAGCCACTAATATCAAAGTAACTGAAGGAAAAAAATTTCTTCTCATGATTTCTTGTAAATATGTGATTTTTCAGAAATAGGTAAGTTCTTCAAGTCTCCATATCACCAGTGCCTTGTGACTGAAGGCCAGCCTTTGCTCTCTGCACTATAATAATGGGCTATTTGGAATAATGCATTGGAGATAAAGCAAGGAAAGAACAGGTGACCCAAAAAACAGGAGAAACATAAAGCTCTTGCCCGAGGATGCTGTGAAACTGGAATCCTTCAATTGCTTTGCAAATCACCCACAATTTGTTTTACAACCTGTAGTTTAGTAAGAATTTAAATCATTTTCCTTGGGAAGTAGCCTCCAAAGCAAAAATGACAGGATTCAAGTGTGGACCATTGCTGCAGCAGCCACCAGACTGTGGTTTGCCTGTTTCACTCTGAAGATGTACAACAGATGCTGCTGAAGGCATCACCCCGAGTTCAGCACTATTTTCCCAAGCTGACACGTTTCATGGATCAAGTTTCCTCAGGAGCAGATGATACAAACGTGGGGGCCTTCCATTCTCACACTTCAGCTACCTTCTTTACTTTGCTTCCTCTGAATAAAAAACAATATTGTTCTGTTTACTCTAACATGCTACAATATGTGCATACATAACTGTAGGCGACGCATGAGTTACTTCAGGATGTGCTTTTTCGTTGAAGTGCGCTGTTACTTTTACAAATTCTACATCAAGGTGGAAGGAAGGAAGGCTGCAGAGTGCTCATACACTGAAGCTGAAGGAACTTCTCCTGAATGGAGTTAAGATGTTTGTTCCCATGTCCAATGGACAAACTACTCTATCCCATGCACTCCGGCCTGAGCCAGTATTAAACATTCCAGAAACTTGTTGATTTGTTTGGATAGTTAATGGCAAGGCTGATAGCAGCAATGTTTTTCAGGGCCTAGAAGAGAAAAGGAAAAACAAAGTCACACCAAATATTCTCCTCAAGCCCAAAGTGTAAAGAAATCATATGAAACTAAGCAGAAAGAGAAACCTAGAATCATGGACTGGTTTGGGTTGGGAGGGACCTTAAATATTATTTCATTCCACCCCTGCCATGGCCAGCGACACTTTCCACTACCCCAGGCTGCTCCAAGCCCTGTCCAACCTGGCCTTGGGCACTTGCAGGGATGGGGCAGCCACAGCTGCTTTGGGAAGCCCGTGCCAGGGCCCCACCACCCTCATAGAAGAATTTCTTCCCAATATCCTAGAAAAGCATTTGTGCAGAGTTCACTCACAACTTTCAGAGGCTGTCAAGGTATGGTAATAGCCAAGTACATTTATATCTCTTTTATAAACTCCACTGGGCAATGAGAAATCATCCAGTGTCTGCCACAAAGATCCCAGACCCACCCAGCCTGGGGCTGTGCAATCCTACCTGTGCTGTGCAGTGATGAAGATGATCTTCAGTATTTAAGGCAAGCAAATACTCCTGTAGAGATCCAAGCTCCTGTGGCCAGAAAACATGCAATGAACACCAATGTTTCTACCAAAGGTGGTATTGTACTAATTAACATTAAAATGCTGATCATTAGAGTCTCCAAGGACTGCACACCAGACTCTCCCAAACTAGAGCACAGTTTGTGATCATAGAAACGAGCTCATGACATATTTAAAAGTTCAAAAGCAACTCTACGAAAACCACATGCAAATACCTTTAAATTAATTATTAAACCAGAACTGCTCTCAGAATAAACAGTTGCTTTATGGCCTTAATAGTCATGGCTATCACTTAAAGTCCAATGATGGATAAGGTAACAGAATTCCCCTCTAATTAGAACTTGCTGCCACACTCCATAAGTGAAAGTTATTAATGTTTCTGTAGCTCTGAGGGATAAAGGAAAACTGCATTTAGTGTAAAACTCTGTAATTCTCAGCATTGAGGAAAGGAGGGATAGAAACACAGGAACAGCTTACAGTAACTCTGTTTTCTGTGACAAAGAAGAGTTCTGCCAGTGCACGATGAAGAGGAAGGAGGATACCGGGCTTGGCTGAGTCGTGACATGAGTTGTTTTCCATGTGGGTGAAGAGCTGCCAAAGTGGCTTCAATAAGGTGAGGTCACAGTCCCTGAGAAAAAAAGTAATTTAAATGAAATTGTGATGCAATAGTGAGCAACTACTGTGCGCATTTCTGGAAATGGAGAGGGGAAATCAAACCAAATCAAATTTAAGAGAACAAAACTATAAATTTGTGACAGTTAACAATAAAAAAAACCCCACTTTGCTAAATGCTCTTGTATCTAGAAATACTCATGCCATACACACATAAGCTTAAAGACACATATCCCTTCTAAAACCCAATTACAGGCATAGTGGTACAACTAAAAAATAATCATTTAGAAGCTATTTACTTTACAGAGAATCAGATCATCACTTCACCAGATTATTATTTCATCCTTACCTTAATTCTACAGTATAACTAATAAAAAGAGAATAAATTTCTAGAAGATTAATTGAAATCTACCTTTGTTCTGTTTTCCGATTATTTTCTTTTTCTTTATAATGACATTTGAATTCATTAGACTTCTTTAAATACCAGCAAAGGAGACCAAAACATCCCTGCTATCAAAGCACTGTAAATTGCATCTGACAGTCAAATTAAGAAAACCTGCTTGGAACCACAGGGGTTTTTTTGCTTCAAAATAATATCAGTTTAGTGCCTTTTTGTTGGCTTGTCCTTTGCCACAGGTGCAGGAGTGGAGCAGGCACTCACCCCTGGCTGCTGCACTGCACGATCTTCAGGAGCAGGTGGATGGCCTTGAGGCGCTGGTGACCCGTCTGGCGACACGCCACCCCCACCTGCCACTCCCAGATCTTGGCCAGAGGAAGGTGAGGAATTACCCTTTCCTCAGACAGCATCTGCTTTAGAATTTCAAACCCTAGGGAAAAAAAAAGAAAATTCAAACAGCTGTTCAGTTTTGTAGGGACACATTCTGTTCATATAGTCAGTTTTCTCCATGCACCAAGTATTGCGAGGCAGAAATATTGAATTAAAATACCAAACAAAAATCTGAGATAACCCTAGATTACATCCTAATGTGGCAACTCTTTTCTGAGGAAAAACTTATATAAAAATTAGAAAGAATCATATCCAAAATTAAATTTTTGCTCAAACAAGGCAAAAAAATCAAGCCCCTCACTATTACATGACATGCAGTAGAGTTTTGCTGATAGCAAATAATCCACAAGCCTCAATTTCATTAAAATATTTAAACTCTGAAATAAACTAACAAAACCTCTTATGCTAAAAATTAGACCCAGAACCATCCTATTTTAATGGATAACCACTTTTGAAAAATGCAATTACCATTATTTCTATTTCAAATTACAGCATCCTAGAGTGTTTACTAAATACTCTGTGTAATTACTATCATATAATGAGATCTTGGATGCAAATTACATTATTATAATTGTAATCTCCAAGTCTCTGTGAAGATTCTGTGTTTCTACCCCAAAGTCACAGGAAGTAAGAGACATCAGTTGAGTTTCCACTTGAACTAAACCAATCACATTATTTCTAAGACACTGAATGCAAATTCTGAGACAAGGAAAAAGAACAAAGCTCAGCAACATGACTAAAAAAGGCCCTTTTCAATAAATTCTGAGCATCTCTTACCTGTCTGAAACCTTCCCAGATGACCTGCTGTCACTGTAAACTTATAACCCCACTCAGTGTTGCTCATGTCAGAAGTAAATCGGTAGTAGAGCGTGTCTCCTATGTGCAGGGAAGGAAGAAAGCCCACATTAATATCTTCTGAGTTAGTTTTGCCATCTCAAATACAACTTAAATGAAAAGTCTGAAATTAATTAATCCTAGATGTCTTCGTTCAAGAGTTGGTCTTTTATTTTTTGGTAACTATGAAACACAAAGAAAAGGTGACAAAGAGGAGGCTGAAGCAAACCCACAATAGTTTTCCCTGTCTAAAGATACTGGATAGGAAGGATAATGTCTTTTACATTTTTTACTACTAAATAGAAGAAATTAAAGAAACTCCATATTCTGCATATGTAACTTCACTTTTCCAACTGTGTTACTGGATCAGTTATGATTTATGAAACAAGAGCCCCTGTACAGGCAGTCAAGTTCTTTACAACAACACTTGAATTCAGTGGACAAAAGGTACAAAATATATGAAATTAAAATTTTTACATGTCAGAAAATTACATTGAACAGTTTTACTCCAAGGAAGAAAACTATTAAACTTAATCACTTTAAATAGAAAGACTATCAAAACATTTGACCACTTTACAATCAGGCAAAAAACATTCAAAAGGTTTTTGCCATTGTGGCATCTACACCTTCAGAGATAAATCCTTGTAGTTGGCTGTAACACTACACAAAACATCTTCATACCTACTGTGCTCTATAATATTAGAGCTGTTAAAACTTAAAGTAACTTTCTGCCCCATGAAAAAGTCTGTTACCCTGGGACAAGCAGGCTAGATTTCATTGGGAAGCAGAATTTTTGAAGTTTCATGAATAAGAAAAAATTTGAAAGCATTTTTTAGGATTTAAAATGAAATATCGATAAAAAATTTTCCCTTTTTATCATGAAAGGGAGAGAGTGTTCTCTCCTACTCATAAGAGAAAGCCCTTCAATCAAATAGTAAGCCCAGAAGTCTTCAAATGTCTGGTTTCAGCTAAAACCTGCTGGAACCAAGAACCTTAATCCAGACAGCCTTGGCTGGAAATGAATTTCCAGAAGGTGAAACTCAAGTTTCACAGCCAAGGCTGCTCTAAACAATGAGCTTTGAAGCTCAGCTCCTTGGCAAACCTTGGCAACTATTAGGGATGAAAAAGAAGACAAAATTTCACAAAAATCTAAAATATTTCTACAGAACATACATTTGCTTTTACCAAGTACCTTGCAACCCAAAACCAACACCTTGTAACCCAAACTGGTTTGCTAAGAAAGTTCCTAAATCTCTTTACAGGTGCTGACAGTCCTTGAAGTCAAGAGCTTCCTGCAGTGCCCCTGTGCTCAGTGGGTTAAAGCAGTTAAAATCAGAAGCAGGGGACTGTGCAGTCCTTGAGCTCTCTGGCATTTGCTCCTCACTGTGCTCTCACAAATGTGCTTAGAGAATCCAGAGTGCAGCTGGCAGTCAAACCTTGGGTTCCTTCCAGCTGTGCTCTGTGGCACCAGCTGGAGCCAAGGTGCTGGCACTGGCTCTCTTTGCTCAGAGCAGCAGCAGAACACACAGACAGAGATAAGCATATCTTTTCTTTTTTTAAATAAAAAAACATGCTTCCTGTGGAAAGTAAGACAAGGCATAAACAATGTAAGTGAATACTGTGCAGAACAAGGACTGTGTTGGAACAGAATCAAGATCAAATTTGTTTCCAGTAGCTGAGTGCATGCTTTGAGTGAGCGGTGGAAAGAAAAGGTCACAGCACAACAACAGATAAGCCACTTTGCAGAAACAAATGCAAGAGCAGCACGTCAGAGCAAACAGAGTAGGACAAGGAAAGGACTGGCCTTTTCCCTACACATCTCAGGAACATCCACATTTAACTCATCAGGAGTTTCTCTCAGCAGCCCCAGCCATACCCTACATTCCCTTGGATCAGTCATATTCACCTGGAAGCTCGAAGTCAGTCCATTTCTGTGGAGAGCCACTGAAGCTGTGCCGGTCCTGCTGGAAGTCACTGCTGCTGGACATGAGCAGCTCATCACAGCCCTCCTCGGTGTTACACTGAGAGTCAAACTTGATGGAGAGGTAGATAGCACCAGGAATGTGAACTTTATCCTGAGAAATAAACACAGCAGCTTTGTGTCCTGTCACACTCTACTGCCCACAACTGACTTAACTTTCACTACACAAACAAGGGAGATATAAAAAGTATTATAGCATCTCTGTGAGTTTTTCACTTTGATATTTTACCCTCAGCTAATTTAACAAATGTAAAGCATGGCCTGTTGTTCACATTAGCTGTTAAGCATGTAAAATGAATTGCCAGCAATGCCTTCCTTTTTCAAAAGCAGTAATTGTTGCTGATATTGATCTTGCTGCCAGAACCTAAGGGGTTATATGCATTTTAAAAATAAAAATCAGAAAAGTCAGAGCAGCAGGGAAATTAAAAATCCCAGGACTGCCCAGAGGCAATAATTACTTACCAAACTATATCAGAAAAATGCTATCAAACAGTATCAAGAGAAGAAAATTAGAAACTCTTTGTGTCAGGGAAAGAGTCTAAAATGAGAAATACAAGAAAAAAGACATCACTCCTGCTTTCATCTAAGGGACTAACAGGCCAACTGAAACAAATCTTTGGAAGGAAGGGTAGAAACATTTGTTCTTGAGACAACATTAAGGCCTTGAAACCATTAACAAATCTTCAAATACATGCACAGTAAAACCAAGTAAGTTATGTATTTTTCATATGATTGAATTAGAATTACATTAAAGTGCTTGACTGAACACATTGCTTTGCAGGACAAGGCCTGAGTTATCTGACATCAGCCTTTTCTAAGGAAGACTGAACAGACTTCACAGGTGCTTCAAGCACAGATATCCATGTGGAAGTCTGAGAGGCTTCTGCTCCAAGCCCTGGGTGATTCCTGCTTCAAGTCATGCCTGCAATCCATGCCTGCCCTACCTCGAAGTTGGTGTTGTTGTTGTAAGGATGCCGAGACTCTCGCATCTGCACGGCCATCCCTGGCTCCTCCATGAACTGACAGGCTGTCAGGGCCATGGTCCCCAGCATGCTCTCCTTGCACCCATGCAGCACTTTCTGCAGAATCTGGGGAGAAAAAAATCACGGAAATATAATCTGCTGTCAAAAGAACATTTACAACTACACATTCTGATGGCTGACACGAGCCATGTCCAAGCCACGCAGGAGTTTGGAAGAGGGAATCAAGGAACCAGCAAGAAACAAGATAAATTCAGAAATTATGCCTGCAAGTGTCATCTCCATAAGCAAAAAAGATTTCACTCTGTCTTCTGTTCTAGACCTTTTATTCTTTATTTGATAAAAACATGACTGATATTAGCCATGGCTCTTCACACAGCTGCTAGAATCAAGGCTAATCCGTAAAGTAATTAACAAGAAATTAAAGCTGTAATCAAATGAGATAAACAACTTTGTTAACATACTAAACAGGCTCCTTTAGCTTCACAGGTTTTGATTTAAATAGAATATGTCATATATTTCAGCCTTCAAACAAAAAAAAGTACAACTCTGCATAAGAAATGAAAAAGTATCAATTAGATGGCTGAAGTTTTGAAAGCAGTAGATGTAAGTTCTGTGTGTTTAAAACTACCCTAAAATGCCCTTTAATCTATAAGGACACACTAAAAATAATTCAGAACCACCTGAGTCTCCTTTTTTCTTATTTTTATAACAGTGCATAAAAGCCCTGAATCCAGGAATTCTGTTACTTGAGCTCTTTCAGGTCATCAGAGCTACTCATTAAGGCCATGTCTTCACCTGTCATCTCCTAAGTGCTCCTGTAAAATGTAATACACCAGCTCAGGCCAGCAGGTTCATCTCCAGATTTCTTGGGAAAAGGAGTTCAAAAAACAAAGGCAGCATGTAGCAGTTAGCTGAATGCACTCTTTGCCTTGCACTTGCTGAACAGCCTAAGACAAAGGCTAGGTTTTTGCATTTAATATGCCTTAATAGATTTTATTCTATCAGTTCATCCTGCCCTTTTCAGAACCCATAAAAACACCCTGGGGCAACAATTTCCATGACTTACTGTGTCAAGAGCCTGTTCTTTTGGTTTGTTTTGGACCTGCCACTTATTACCTTAATCTGACACTCCTTTGTTTTCTTACTGGGAGGGCCAGTGAATAATACTTACTGTTAACTTTTGCATGCTATTTACTGCTTTAAATCTACAGAGAAAGAGGAACAGACTTTTCCATTACTCCTTCTCCCTCAATGTCCCACAGGGGAAAGATCCAGAATGAAGAAAACCAGTTGGTTTCTCATACTGAAGTTATTCTGTGGCTGTAATAATCCCTGCCACTCTTTTCTAGGCCTCTTCCAGTTGTACTGCATCTTATTTTAATTTTTTATGAGATGAGGGAGTCACTGCAGTCCAAAAGAGTGCATAGTATTGGTTCAATGGCATATCAATGCCTTCTGCTTTATTTTTCATTCCCTTTTTGAAGATTCCCAGCACTTGATTTGCTTTGACTGCTGTGCAGCCTTGAGCTGACACTTTCATTACAACATTCTATTTTAATTCTAAGATCACTTCCACCACCAGCTCATCAGTGGAGTAGCAGATATTACAATATACACATTGAGATCTAAGAAAAAGCAGCCTTTAAAAGGCACTGCCTATTTTACCAATTTCTCTAGATTACCACCTATATTGTCTATTTTCAAACCAGACTGCCTATTTTACCAGTTTCTCTTTCATAACTGAAAGAGCTCTCTCTACACAGCTAGTTTTTTTCATTTTCTGTTAATAAGACCAGCACATCAAGACACTGACAGATTCCAACTGCTTTTTCAGAACTAATTTAAATTTTGGAGTTTCAATTTAGTTGAAAAAAGGAACTGCAAGTATTTCTGTTACTCAGAGTCTCGTGGCATGTGGGCACAGGTTTGGTTCACATGCCTGAATGAAATCCACTTACTTTTTCCCATAGTTGCTTCTCCTCTAGCTGCATCAGCATGTCCAGGATGTATGTCATATGGGCTGGGCCACTGAGATCTAGGATTTCCTCATTTATTGCCACATCATCAGGCCACTCAGCTAACAAGGATGCCAGCACATGCCTGGCATACAGAACTGCAATTGCCTCATTGACACGATACAGGTAGTCCCTGACAGCCTTTTTACTCCTGGAGTCCAGCTCCTTGTGCAGGAGAATGGAGCTCTTGGTGCGTCGCTGCTTGGCATAGCTGAGCTGCAGGTCACTCTCTGTGTTGGTGATGAGTTTCTGGGCAACAGGGTTGGTTTCTTCTGTTGCTTTATCGCAGAGTACAGGCTTTGACTGCAAGAGAAATGCAAGTTGGAAAACAGGCTGTCAATAATTTACTGCCCTATGTTTGGATATCTGACCGGTCAAACTGCAAGCTGAATTTACAAATTAATTTGTCAAAAACCTCACAGAAGTGGGATCTCTCACACAGCTACAGATTTCCTGAGAAACATTGTTTATGTCTACACACCTCACTACACACTGATGCATTTGTGGCAACAGCAGTTAGAACTCTAACCAGAAGTGTGAACTGAAGCTCACCTACAGAGGTAAAGCCACCAAGCACCCTGAAACGAAGCAAGCTGGGAGGGACTTTTGGAGATCACTTGCTCCAAATTTGACTTAAGGCTGAGATAACTTCAAAATCAGGGCTTTGTCCAGTTAGGTTTGGACAATTTCCAGGCCTGGGTATTTCACAGCCTCTGTATAAGCTGTTGAAAGGCTTATTTTTTTTCCTTTTAATGATGTGAAACTGCTTCAGGAAGCTCCTTCCCCTTTGCTATGCAACTGTTAAACAACTGTGCTAGTGACACCACACAGCCAGGAGTGAGCCCTCAAAATAAAAAGAGCTGTGGGACCTTTTTATTGAATGCAAAACCTAAAGCTTGCAAGTGTAGTGTCTACAAGATAGATGCATTGCTTCCTTGTTCTGCTGAACTTACTGTTAGATAACAATGATATGCTAAAGCAGTAGCATGGCATAAGCTTACAGCAATGAGATACAATCTCTCTTGTGTAAGGGGAGGAAATTACAGCCTGCAATCACAATTTGTTCTCCTGATCTGGGAATCAAGTTCTTTCACTTCCTTAAGGAAGGAATAACAAGGAAGAAATACTTGCTTCTTGTACGTGCTCATTCATTTTGACATAAAACACTGATAACAGATTATTTCAGATGTATTAAAAAAAAAATCTCAGGCTTGAATGCCAAAATTCATTATTTTCTAACTGTTCCTTTTTGTAGAGGTGTCCATACCAAACAGGGTAAGATGATCATATCTGTATCCACTGCCTTGCAGCTCTGCTCCTCCAGCCTCAGGCGTTTGCTGGGCTGCCACTTCTGAGCCAGCGTCCGGATCCTCTCATCCGTTGTGATCACATCCCCATCAAACCTTCACAGAGGCAAAAGAAAATCAAAAACACACAACTGTGTTTCCAAAGTAATGCCAACTCAATTAGGGCAATTAAATGCAAATTAAATCTTCCCACCTTCTGTTTCGGGAAGATTAAACACTGCCTATTTTTATCATGTTAACTGTTCCCCTGTTTTAACAAGCCAAAGGATTTAAATGTTACAAAATCACTCATTTCTGTGAGAACATGGTGAGATGCTGTGAGTACCAGAAGCCACATGTAAGCTCTTGACTTTTCCTCAGTTCACAGGATTCAGAGCTTCATATGGGAGCTACCACATAGAAAAGAGCATGTGATGTGTTTCAGAAGACGGTGACTTGCTTCCATAAATACTACTTAGCAGGAGTTTATTTCCTTACTTTTTCACACATGAAAAACAAATCTTATCCTTGGAAGAATTTCTATCCAGCACTGAGAGGATTTTAGATTTTCACCCACCACTTTCTCTGCTGGACCCAGAATTTCACATACCTCTTTTGAACTTCCAGGAAAAAAGATTCTGTTCTTTTCATCTGCAGCTCATACATGGCTCGAAGAATGTGGAGAGGTGCATTAAGTGCATCGTGTGTCATCTGAGCAAGGAGCAAAAAGAAATTTAAAAACCCCTAAAAACACATTAGAGGGGAAAAGGAAAGAATGAATTTCTTTAAGGATGACCTATGCATTATTTCCCACTTTGTAGGTAGAGAATTAATGAACTTAGTATTTGGACTAATAATAATGAGAAGCAATTTAGCAAAACACTGTATAATGATTTTGTAGCATTCATTACCATAGTTCTAGTTTATTTTTTTAAAGAATGATGCACCGAAATCACAGACCCACACCCTATAAATTTAAAAGGAAAACAACCATATGAATTACCAAATGTTTTATGCAACAAGCAAATGTATAATTTGCACATTTACCCAAAAGAAGGTAAACTAATTTAAATACCAGGAAGCATATTTTGGTGGCTTCATCCAGGCCCTCCAGAGGATCAAGTTTGTTCTGCTCTAAGTCAACAGGACCAACAACAGGCTGCTCCACATCTTGATCTTGTTCCCTGTCTTCCAGTTCAGTATCCTCCTGTTCAGCCAGGGAACTGATATCTTGCTTTGAGGAATACAGCATTATTGACAAAATCTACAAAGAAAAGAATATGGTGTGACAGCTGTAGGTATTATTAGTTTATTTGCAATCAGCACCTTAGAAGAACATTATGAGACCTGGACAGTGCCTAACAGAAGCTATTTTACAAAGAAGCACACCTAAAAATAAAAAAATAACCCCAAAACACAAAATGAAACAATCTCCCACTTCACTAATGAGTTACACCTTCCATGCTGCTGCAAAGACAACTTCAGTGATTAGCTGAAAGTGCAAAGGAAGTTGAGAAAGTAATTATTAAACCATTTCAGTGCATCAAAGATTTGAAGATTCCAAGACAAAAACAGAGCAAAGGTGGCCATCACCAGAATGCCAGTGCTGCCCCTACACACCCTTCTCCTTTGAAAACAGCTCTTTGGCTTCATCACAGTCCTAAAAATGAATTAACACAACTCCTGCCTAAGATAAAACATAACTAATAGCTGAACCACACTTCTCTTTCAGCAATTAACAACCACTGTGAAAGAATATGCTCATGTGTGCATTGATCTCCCCACCTGCACTGCAGCAAAACCTTGTGCAAGTCATGCTTTTCTTTGAGATTATTTTCTAACTTGATGAATGGAATTTGAAATAACAGTCGAAATAAAATCCATACAAACAATCTGAGGAGGTGAGTAATGTCTCATTCTACAATTTTTTTCCAAATAAAATCAGATTAGTGAAAATCAGCTCCTGCTGTAATGAATTTAATCTATTAGCCACAGGATTATGATGGGCAGAAGGAGGCAGATTCAGGGATATAGGGATATAGTTAAGTGAACATTTTTTCAGAGACTAATTAGAGATAATCTTGAGTCCCCAGGAGGGCAGTGTACTGCCATAACCTTTCATGCCACCATGTGAAGCCTGACTTTTTACAAAATGTCACTTTTCTTACCTCCAGGTCTCGGAGAAGCCAAGTCTTACTGAAGCCAGTTCCTTTGCTACACTTCTTCACTAGAAGTTTGAGTAAACCAGACTGAAGGAAGGCAGACTGGATCTCCTTAAAGCCATGAATCTGCACACACAGACACACACACACATAAATAACTAAAAAAGGAATAATGCATCACAGTGCTTGTGAGGTCTTGTCACACATACTTGGGTGAATTTCCTGCCCAGATGAACTACACTGGGAATCCTTCCCTTTCATTTCCCTAAAATAAAAATCCCCACTTCAAATCCCTTAAGGGTATCATCTATGACGTGCACAGTGTTAACTGAGAATCTGTTTTGATCTGACACTCAAAAAAAAAAAAAAAAAGAAAAATTTCCTCTTCAAAGACTTCAAGAGTGAGAAAAGTGAGCTTCACTCCATAAAATCTCTAGGAATTTCTTCCTGAGCTCTCCTGAATGGCTGGCCCCCACAGAGGAGAAGCAAAACAACTTCCAGCTCAGACTCACAAAAGCTATTTAAAGCCCAGCAACATTTCCAACACCCTACAGACTGGGAATAAAGGCATCCAGCTGTGACAGAAATGCCCTTGTGGTAATTCCCCAGTGTGCTCAGTCAATACCCACATTCCTGCAGCACAGGGTAAAACATGACTTTTTATTTCTCTATCATATTCTGTGTCAGGTACCTTCAGAGTTCTGTAAAGCCCCTTCAGAGCCAGTGACAAGACCCAAGTTGTTTCCACTGCCTCAGCATAGCTACTGTCCATGCTGGTCTGCAGGAGGTGGGTGGAGATGAGGACAAAGTGCTGCAGGTACTGTCTCAGCTGGGTGTGGGAATCACTGCCTTCTTGCCCACATTTCTGAATCAACTGATAGTCTTTCACTACAAGAGAGAAAAAACACAATTCACATCAAAATGTTGTAGTCATCTCTTAGTAGATATGAGTAGGTTCAGACATGAGACATCTTTACATCAATCATGTTATAATAAAGGTCTTATACAAAAATTATCTCATACTCCCTGAACAGTCAAGAAAGTATTTCATTTTTCAGTACAAGTTAAAAATCCCTTTTGGCAACAGCACATATTTGCACATTAGCAGCACAGCATGCAAAGTAGCTCACGTTGTATTTTACAATTAAAATGGGGAAAATTCTGACCTGCAATTGATATGATGAAATAAATACTGCTGATCTTACTGTTTAAAATGTCAACAGTTAAACAAAAATAAAAGCTTTTACATTCAAATCTTCCTTGAATATCAAAAAGCGATTTAGTCTGTTGATTTTTCCAAATGTCTTTTACACAACTTCAGTAGGCAAATCTTAGGACAACCTTTGCTTTATTAACTTCACTATATTAGGTCATACAAAGAGAAAAGCCCTTGCTCCTAAAAACCCAACTGATTTGTTATATATTAAATGTTTCACTTAGTCTCAAATTTTAGGGATATCCAAACTGTTTTTAAATTAGCAATTGTTCTAAAACATTAAGCACAGACTTGTAAAGAGCAAGACAGAAGCACTACATAAATCTTGAAACAGAAATAACTGCTTCATCTTCATCAATAGCCTATTTCTGAGATTACTCAATTAACAAAATGGTCTCAACAGCTTTCTAAATACTTTTCTGAATAAAGATAATGGAAGTAATTACTGCAGAAGCTTCACAATTTGGCAGTGACCTGCAAGCAGAATTTGGTAACCTACGAGCAGAATGTCAGGCCACTTACTAATAATGGAATTCAAAGTCTGCAGACCTGCACAGTGGTCTAGTTAACATTTGCTTTTGGCTATCTGTAACAAACTGTAAGGAAATACTCTGTGATTCTCTGATAAAACAAAAATGTCACAAAACCTGTTTTTCTCTTTCGGGTTTTGATGTCTACAACCACTGCCCTGTTTTTCTCAGTGAAGTGCTTCAGGATAATCACATTATGAGGCTCATTAGCATTGTCCATGTACACAGAACGAGTGCCCATGCACAGCACCTGAAATGGCAGCAGAACTTCAGTTAGGATTTGGAATACTTATTTACAAATACACAGCCATGTCTTATATTGGTTACATTTGCTTATTCTTGCTATTCTATTTTTTAGTTGAACCACTGCTTGATGCCTGGTATTTGCTGGTCTTTAGAAAACAGAAGTTCAAATCTATAAAAGAAATGTCTACAACAACCAACTTAATGTTACATAGGCAATATATCAGTTATGAACATCAAGATGGAGAATGGATTGTTTTGGTTGTACAGAAGTCCTTTTAGATACTGAAACAAATGAAGCTGGTTTGCTTGTAGCAGATAAACAGGATCCAAAGAAATGCCACGCAAAACCATCTTCATCAGATCAACATTAATTATGCACAAGTAGAAAGATGGAACTCTGACACACAACAGGTTTTGAGAGTTTATAAAGGTTGTCCCCCACTGATGGAATCTGTAGTATTTAGAAAGAGATACCTAAAAACTTTAATTCTGTTTCCTTTAGGACTGACAGGCCACTCACCTCAGGAAAGCCAACCAGCACCAACAAAGTGAAGATGTTGGTGTGCTTTAGCTGGAAGGGCAGCTGCTTGATGCAGTGGTCAGTGAAAGCAGCAATGACAGGGTGCCACTGCGCAGAGGAGTTCAGGGAGCGCAGGATGTCTGCCATGGAGCTCGCCCAGTCCAGCCCCACACGGCTGCAAAGCAAGAGCAGGCTGCATCAGGAGGGCTCACTGCACACTCACCTGGAGCTATTCCTCCTCAGACAGCATATCACTGCTAATCTGTCACAGCTGCAGCTTTCAATTTACTACAGAAATGTTTTTCCAAAGTCTTAAAGCTTTCATGCCAGCTGACACCTGAATTCTGCTTTGTTTTCCAGAGCATAAATACTATTCTGTTTTCTGAGAGTGTCTACAGTCCCAAATCAAAGTGTGCTTGAATATTGCCACTGTTAACTCTGAATTTTAGTTTAGAACTCAGTAGTTTCTGTTTGCATGGCAGCAAGAGGTTTATTTCCCATATATGTGACCACCTGCTCACTCTCTGGATCACACAAACAACCTATTAAAATTCATTTTTGAGAAAATCCTTTCCCTCAGCTTCTGCTCTGGATATTCTGCCTTTAAATTTCATATGCTTTTCTATTTGTTTATGAACCTCCCTGTAAAACACAGCTACAATTAAAAGGCATGCCATGAATCTCAGAATGCTTGAGAACTTTCTCAGGATCTTCAAAAATCTGTCCCTCCCTGCTGTTTGCAGTGCAATTTTACTTAGTGTAAAATCGCATTGGAGGTGTAAAAAACCTCTCTCTCACGTATTCTTACATAGAAGGGCCAGATCCAGAACTCAGCACTGGTGATAGTGATGTGACACACTCTCCTCCTTTCCCATGTTATACAAGAGATTTGTAACAATGTGAGAGAATGAGTGTCACACAAAAAAAAAGGACTGTATTTTTGGTTTTCCTCATAGTTTCCAAACCTCACTTCCTCCTCCATGACATGCTGTGTAGCTAAGCACAGGAAATTAGGCCACTCTTCAGCAGCCAGCCTTCTTGTGGAAGGAAATTAGGATTCCCACTACTACAAAGGCTGCAGATGCTAAGCCCCTTCTATGACCAAGGTACAGGTTTAATTACCTTTCTATTAAAAAGCCTCTATGCACAAGTCATACATGAAAGAAAATTAGTGTTCAGCAGAGATTAACTAATTGGGTTAAGGTAAGAAGCACCTGTCTAAACACACAGCTCCCAGACTGAACAGAAGATGAGTTGTCTTCCATCCTTCTGGCACTGTAGACCCATCTCCTGGTACAAACAAATTATGTTTGGCTGAAAGGATTTTAGTCACAGCAGCATCCACTTCTGCAGGCATAAGCCTGAGGATTAACTGGCCCAGGAGTCCCAAGGTTAAATGATAAGTTTCATTCAGGTGGCCAGCATTTGAGATTACAACATGAAACATCAGTGGAAGTATTTGTTCCAGGTTGATCAGAGACATTGTGAACCCCTGCAAAGAGAGAAAAATCTCAGTGAAGCAGGGAAAGAAAACAAGATTTTTAGTCAAAATCAGCACATGAAAAGCTTCTGTTCTGAAGGTCTTTCAAATGGGACAGAAAGAATGAGAAACTACATTCCTACTTTTGTTATTGGCCTGTTAGAGTGACCTGACATGTGAAGCTAAATTGAAGATTTAAACAATGCTAAACAGTTAAGACTCTACTTCACAGATACATTAAAATCCTCTCCCCCCATGCAGGAACAAGCCCTTATATTCCTTAGTGATGTCAATGTCTGAAGACATTCTAATTCACATTTCATAACATCTAAACAACATGGGCCCACATCCCACATTTAATTCCTACGAATTTTATTCATGTTATTTCTGCACATAGGAAAAAAACCCAGATGGAATTAAAAAGAACTAACTGATTTGAAAGGTGGTAACATAGCTGCCAGCAACCCCAAAATCCTCTTCTGAGAGCATTCAGCAAAAACTTGCTCCTGGCTAGGTATTAAAACCTTCTCTGTTGGTTTTTGGGTTGAATCCTCCAAGACGGAGTCACCTGCTTTGTAAATAAAAACAAAATAAGGAAATCCCTTTACATTAAAAATAAATAAGTGATAGCTTAATTTTTATAATCCAAATCTAAAAATAAATAGAAATTATAAAAAGAATTATTACAAATTGAAAATAAAGTCTTTATAAAAATGTATGGAAACAGAAGGTAAAGAAATTTATACCATCTAGTAAAACATATACAGGACAGTGCTAGACAGATCCATTTAACTTTCAAAATTCTTACAGTCCCAGTCTTTAACAGGATAAGACACTTATTTTCTGGTTCCAAGTGCATCACAACACACTAGTGTTGTGTTAGACCAACGGGGACTGTTATCTCCATAGATGGATAAATACTTGTGGAAATCTACTCTGATTTCCAGACTCCTTTAAACAGACTGCAAGGCACCTGTTCGAAGCACTGTCTGGCAGGTTTTCACAAAGCAGACACAGACATTTGAAAATATGCAAAACTGGATTAGGAATAAAAAGGACAGCTGTTTGCAGATAAGTAGATATTTCTGTGACAGGGAAAATGAGAAATTATTTTTTACCTGTTGCAGGAACATTCCCATCCACAGACAAGCCTGAATCTTGTCTCACAACAGCTTCCTTTGCAGAGACAGCTTTGATTTCAATTTCTTGTTTTCCTACTCTATCTTCTGCAGGAGACTGGATTTCCTTGCGAGTATCTCTTTTTCCCTAAAAATAAAACATATGTACTAAAAGATTAAAACAAAATGTAATACCTGCAGAAGCAAGCATGGAAAGAATTCAGTCACCTGCACTTGACAAACATTTTTCTTTGAGTATCAAAATCTTCTACTGAAGAATTTCTTGATGTATTCATGTCTTAAGCTTCCATACAATTAAATTATGTTCTTTTCTTTTGCTCATATCTCCCTGCATAAAATTATTACACTATAATAGTTTTAAACACTGCATAAAACTGTAGGAAACTCATACTAATACTCAACACTGCTAACAACCAGGAGAAACAAAAGCTCGTTCACAAAGAACAAGACATGCCCCTCTCCTGCAGCACTTTTGTGAAAATCAGCTCAGAACAAGAAGATTTTGATCAGCCAGACCTAATGAAAAAACAACTGTCCCCGCCCCCCCCGAGTTTTTACCTATAAATGAAATCATTACTATCCCTTATCTCAGCCCCACATTCAGAACAGGGTGTTTAATGAAGATGTTTAATATCAGACCACATGTCTGGTGTCAGGGGTTCTGGAGGTAACAGGTACTTACACTGCGATGCAGCAAAGAGCCTGTGCTGCGTTTCTCATCTCTTCCCTTCCCTGCTCTATCACCAGGATGACTTTTTGGAGCACTGTCTGTGGGAGGACTGCCTGAAACACTGCAATTCTCTGAGATGGACTCATCTTCTGGTAACATGCAGAGGAGAGCTAAATTTTTCAGTCCTGGGAGCAAAAACATTATGGAAGTTATTTAGCTGCGGAGGGGCAAGACAGACAAAAAGCAGAACTGAAACACTTTAAAAGAGAACAGCAAACTTCTTACACGATTCTTTTGAACACTAACGTCATCAAAAACATGTTTTCTATCAAGCTCATATAATTATGTAGTTCCACTAAATACTAGTGATGGACAGATGGTGACATCTTTGACCTCAAAGATACAATTGGGGTAGATGTTTTAAATTAAGAAAACAGTAGCGTGTTAATTATGAGGAGCAAACAACATTTGTCTTATTTTTCAATCTTCTGACTACTTGCACAATAGAATTGTATAACAAAATTGTAAACAGATGAATTAATGAGTAAATATTTGGTGGTGGTATTTCAGTTGTACTAGAGCTGCTCACAAAAACTACCAACAAACTTCTTTGAATTTTAGTCTAAAATTTTTGATACATTCAAAATGAGTCCCTATTGTATAACTCTATTTTCTCTAGTAGGTCTTCTTTCACAGAAACCCCCATTTCCAGAAAAATGAACACCACTGCCAGAAATTTATACTACAAACACAGCTAAAAATCTCTTCCCTTGAGATGCAGAACAAAAAACTTTTTCCACCAAGTTATTTGCTGTCCTTCAGCTGTCAGTGATACATTACTGAAAGAACATGAAGTTGTATTGACTGATCCCTTTACAACAACTAAGATGGAAAAAAAAACAACCAGAGACTTGCCAAGTTGTGTCCAATGTTTATGTAAGCATAAAATTAGTTTTCTCAAGCACTCTATTTTCCATGTTCCAACGACCCTGAATGACACTTGTTCTACATTTGCTTTCTACATAAACAGTTATTCTCAGTGAAGTACACAGTAGCTTCCCCTTTCCTTTGGAAACTTTCAAGTAAGTAACCACAGACATTTCTGACACTTGTAGAAAGCATTGTTCAGAGCAGGAGGAGCTGACTCACCTTTTCCATGCTGTGCTTTCATCAGGCAGTCCCCAATGAGCTGAATGCACTGATGCTGCAGGACTCTGGCATGACTGACGACCTGGGGATCCAGCTTCTCTCCTTCTACTTCCTCCCCATTTGCCAGATCTGCACTGTAGAGGGTCAGGGCAGCAAAGAGCAGCCAGGAGTAGTTGTGGACGTAGGGCTGGATGAGGCGCTGGCGGTCACTGATGCGGATGGTCACCATGGGATACACCGTGATGCTGTGGGTGGGCAGGTGGCTGGAAGGACAAGGGACACCATTTAGCAATGCAGCTTCTGGTTTGCTGCTAACCAACACAGTCAGTCAGTCAACACAAAATGCCTTCACAGGAAACCACTTAAAACCCAACACATTCCAGAGGTTCAAACTGTGGACCGGGTTTTTATGACTTCTGGTGTCAGGCACTGAAAACTGTTGTTTTCCACAGTAGGGATTGTCTCTCCAATCCTGTCATACAGGATAGGTAACTCCTTCTGCAGCTTTCCTAGCCACATCCAGAAAACAACTGCTGCCAAGTGACTTCAGAGGTTGAGGCAGGTTTCCTGACATTTTTGCCAAACTGGTCCTGTCTTTGTTTCCCCAAAGGACACCAAGGAGATGTTCAGATGTTAGACACAGCTTTATAGGAAGCACCACGAGAATGACTGATTGTATTTAGCTACTAAATACTGTCTTTCTGCTACATGGGAGAAAGCAAATCACATTTTTAATACCTGTCAGAGTATTTCTTTGCATGATAGCATCCATAGCAAAGGTCAAAGTCATCACAAACATTGCAGTTCATTCTCCGACCTATGATAACTCCTTGGCAGTGATCACAGGCGTATTCCATGTTCACCATTTCGTGGTCGTCCTCGTGCCCTTCAGGTTTAACTCCACCTGTAAAGAAAGATGTCCCTATAAATCTTTCTGACACAGGACTTCTCCTAATTTCAAGTTCACATTCATACTAGGGAAAGAACATTTAAACATTTTCAGAGAACTGAGGAGAAAAGTGTTTGACTTTATTTTGTGTATAATTGTCCTGGATTGCAAGCTGTGGCTGGGAGTGTGCATTCTATTGCCATTTGTTAGAGGTGGGGCAGTTATCTTTTGTTCTTTGGACAGTTTTCTTTATCTCTCCCACACCAATCCTCCCTCCAGGAGATCTCTTCCATTCATGGCCACTGAGTGTCCCTGCATGGCTGAGAAAATTCCATCATCCTATGGGGAGATGCTCTGCCCAGGGGAGGAGCCAAGCATTCCTACCTGGATCCAATCTGACCTGGGAACAGCACAGCAGCCTTTGCCCACTGCATTCCCAGAGGAGCAGCTTTCTTCCCACTGCATTCCCAGAGGAGCAGCTTTCTTCCCACTGCATTCCCAGAGGAGCAGCTTTCTTCCCCACTGCATTCCCAGAGGAGCAACTTTCTTCCCCACTGCATTCCCAGAGGAGCAGCTTTCTTCCACTGCATTCCCAGAGGAGCCCAGGCCCATCTCCCTCAGCCCTGGAGCTCCAAAGGAAAACTCCCCCCTTGTGCAGGATCCTGCTCCAGCAGAAGCACAGCTGGCACTGCAGGAGGGCTGAGCCACCCTGGGATGGGACTGCTGCCACCTCCCTGACCCACAGGGTGCCAGGGCCTGCTCTGACTCCGCTCTGTTTTGTATTACTGCATTTTTCTATTTTGATTTTCTTCCCTAATAAAGAACTGTTATTCCTATTCCCATATCTTTGCCTGAGAGCCCCTGAATTTCAAAAATTATAATAATTCAGAGGAAAGGGGTTTACATTTTCCATTTTTAGGAAGGCTCCTGCCTTCCTTAGCAGACACCTGTATTTTCAAGCCAAGACAATAATTTACAAGATACTGTTTTGGCTTCAAATACAGGGTTTTGGGGGGTTATTTAATGGCTCTTACCAAGGAAACAAGTTTTACACAGATCCATGTCGTTGCACTGCAGACAGCGGTAGCGATGCCACGGCGCGATTTCATCACAGCCATCACAGGAAATGTCCACGTTCAACAGGTCACAGTAACGAGCAACAAACATGTGCATCTACAGCAATAAACCAACACAAGTTACTTGAGTATTGTTTTCTGACTTTGAGAAAGCTTCAGACAGGAGGCAGAACATTTCCCCTGCCAAAAATGAATGGCGCTATTTTAATCAATTTAGAATCTTGAAAGTCTACAGAGATCCAACTAACAGAAATTATTTATAAACCAGACTTCTTGCTGCCCTTTAGGCTTTTAAAGATCTCTTATTTACCCTTTCTGCAGGTAAATATACAAAACATGAGGTCACCTTTCTCTGCTTCTCTGGGTCAGCTTGAGCTATCTTTTCATACCAGGTCTCAAACATTACATCCTGACATTCATCCATCCATTCACAGTTTTGCTTGTAGTCTGCAATTTCATCTTCTTCACTCCACTGACTAAAAGAAAAGCAAGCTTAAAATTAAGTTTGAATGCTATCAGGCTTCCCTTTAATAAAGCTTTACTTTCTAATGAAGAATGAAGTGCTATAACATGCTAATTAAAACAATTGTAAGAATCCCATTCACTTGGTTAATAAACGACCATACAGACACCTGCTTCTTGCTTCTGTGACATGTTCTTAAATACATATGGGGACCGTAATGCAAAAATCAGGAAAATATACTCTTATAAAACAGCTTTTGGAATGCTGGCAGATCAGACATTTTAATTTTTTTTGGCCTTCACATTTGCTCATGTGCAAGTACAACTACTATACAATTGCCATGTGAAGGTGCTAAAAACATTTGATTTTCATCAAGGCAAAACACAGTATTATACAACTCCTGCTACACTGCTAAACAAGCAAAGTGTTCCAGTAGCAATCAGGTTAAACTTAAAATTACAAAAGTTTTTGTACCAGCAAAAAAAAACTTGCAACACTTCAGATAAGCCCTTGGATACTAATCAGAATTCTGCCAAACTTGTTAACAGTACCCTTACTGCTTGTTCCAGCTCAAAGTTCAGGAACCTTTCTGGGTAAAATGGAATCAGCATTTAGCAGCATGTGAAAGCTGCATTCCTCCTGACTCACCAAATGACACTGTCATGGATACTGATGTTCTCCTGTGATGTTGTCATGAGGAGATGTGGCAGCTGGATCTCAACAAAGAAGGAAAGATCACTGGGCTCCCAGCTCATATCCAAGAGGTGCAGGAGAGCTGTCTGCACACAGGATAAGGCAGGAAGCAACGACCTAAATAAAAACAAAAGACATTAAAACATGACAGCTCTAAAGCTGACCAAAAGTTGAAAGATTAACTTTTAGTTGAAAGATTAACTTTTAGTTGAAAGATTAGTTTAAATTGTGTGTGGAGAGGAAGGGTAGAAAAACCCCTGAACACTGCTTTTCAGGCTTTACTATGCATTAAAGTAACTCTGTGGTAGGAACTCACATTTATCACAGTATTCAACTTACACAATTTAGGAAGGACAGAATATGGAATTTGAAAGAAGGACAGTTTTCCTTCTGGATTCAGGTAAGATCAAGCTAATGGTGTTGCCTGAGCATTAGGAAGAGGGTTTGTCTCTTCTCTACAGTACAGCACTTTCTTGGTATTTGCAATAATTTATTCTGTTTGAAACCTTTTTGCCATTTTCACTTGAAACTGAACAAAGGACTTGAAAGTTATTGTCAGAGAGACTGACATTATAGACATAAATTCTCGTTTCTCTTGGACACCTGGCTATAAATCCTCCAAATTCTAACCATAATGTTGCCAAAACATGAGTTTTAACATTAAAGCATGGCTGCAGAATTGCCATGCTTCTTGTGGCATTACCCTTGCCCAAGTATTCCATGATAAATTTGCTATTTCTAGTATTTTACTACTAAGCTTCAGAGACACACTGCAGAATTGGAAAATGCAGTAAGTCAAGTTTTAAACACCAATAAGTTTTTGTGCCTTTCTTTATTCCTTTAGTAATAAAAAGCCAACTTGGCATTTTTGATCACAAGATCAAGGTTCCTCATTTACTTCTGTAAATAATGGAAAGTGCAGACAAAATTAATGAAGACATTAAATGACAAATAGTAAATTACAAGGGAGGAGGTGTGAAGGAATGGAAAAAAAAATCAAATAAATAAAGCAAGCAATGAACTGTACCTGTCATTAATTGTACTAAATCCTTTCACAGAATTTACCAGGAACAAAACAAGCTGATAGTATGACTCTCGAATCTCTTTGTGTAGCTCAGCACCACAGCCTTCCAAGTTTCCAAAGTAGCTGCAAATTAAAGAGTCATTTTAGTAGCCTAGAATTCACTGTAATGTTTTAGGTAGCAAGATTTGTGCAGATTTTACAAACAGGCTCTTTTTAACCCTTCTTCACAAGTGTGAAAGATGTTAGTTTTATTTAAAAATACAGTCTAGAAGATTCAAACAAAAATTAAAGAATCCTGTACCAGAAATCAGAAATAGAAAAGGCAAAGAGAATATTCTCACAGCATTAAGAAGAGAACATTAATTTAAATTAAAAAGTTGCTTTATGAAAAATCTAATCAAGATCTTAAAGGAAATCGGAGCATTGCAAGATGACCACAGAAAGCTCCTGACAAGTGAGAAGCCAAGAAACAGAGTTGTGACAGCACTGGCCAGACATAACATAGAAATCAGAGCTAAACATGTTCATGGCATGAACAGCTGTGCAACTACGTCCCATTTGAAAATAATTTTTTTTTTTTTTAATTAAGAACACCAGATTTACCTACTAGCCTGAAAACTAACCTCAAGTCTTATTTTTATTATCCACATGCATTAAAAAGCGGAACTTTCTACTCTTGTCAATATTCGTGCTGAAGGAACACAAGAACTAAGACAGCAAATCACAAAGCTGAGATTTGCCTAAATAATTACTTACTTTGTAAAATCTTTCTGACAGGCTAGAAGTTCTAGGAGAAAAAGTACACAGGGTGGGTGAAAGCAGTGCGGCTGTCCAAGCGAGTCCAGGCACTGGCGGATGGTCTTCAGCACTTCCATAATACTCTGTCCTTGGGATTTTCTCAAAGCAAGAACCTTTAAAACACTGTAAGCAAAAAATATCAGTGAAAACCTCAAAATACTGTGCTTAAAACAACACAAATAAAAGAATATTTCAATAAGTGCTTGACTAGTTACACAACTGCTTTGTATCTGAATTTCCAGCTGTATTTCAGTGTATTGGTTGGAGTGAGTAATAAAAGCTTCGAACAGAATTCAGCTCTTCCTGCACCACTCCATGTTCTAGAGCCCAAAATACACAAGCTGAGAACTGGAAATCTCTCTTTTGATTTATGTTTTCAGAATACCAGGTAATTTAATGAGAGATGCAACTTGTCTCTATTTGGTACAAAGGATTGGTAATAGTGATACACTGTGGCTTTGCTTTTGTAGATAAAAAGCAAAATGCCTCTGACAAACACATCTGAGGAAGCAAGACAATAAATTGCCAAGTGACTGTTTTTTACGCTCTGTTCTATGTGATAGAAACAACTGAAATGAAATACTACTCTCTGAGTCCCTACATCCTTGTGAATAACTGAAGCTTGATACATAAGTCTGACAACTGAAAACAAAATATTCTGCCATATTATCTGTCTGCTAAAATATTTTATTCCACCTGAAGAGGTGCGAAGACAAGCTTCTGTATATTATAACTGACAACAATTTCAATTTGCTTACCTTTCATGTGAAAGTGATTGATCCTTAATAAAGTCTAATATGTTCTTCAAAATAGGATATTTTTCCTTCACAGTAGGCACAGGTTTTGGCTCTTCCATTGATCTGAAGGACAGCAGCCTCAGTCTTCCACGGCTGAGCTGAGACTTCCGGGTAGGAGTGGAAGGAGGGGATGACACATCTTCCTGCTGTGAAACTGTATTCTCAACAGGTTTACTATGACATGCAGCTGCAGCTTCTGCTTGGTGGAGGTCTGGAATTTGTTTAACTTTTGGATCAGACTGTGATGCTTGACCCCTCTCTTTTGAAACAGGGTGAATTCCTGCACTGGACGACACAGACGGTGCTGCCTGGAAGTCCATGTCCACAGCTGATCCTTGTCTTTGGCATTGATCACTCACATACTGCTGGGGATCATCCATGTCTTGGGCTTCCAAACTGTCTGAGGCAGAATCTTTTGTTTTTGCTCTTATGGGCAAAAAATTCAGTAACAAAAGGCTCTTCTGCACACAGAGTTTTGCTGCAGCATAAAAATTGGAAGAGTTAAAATCACAACAATAGAACAACAAATTTGCTGTCTTAGGCTTAGGAAGAAAGTGATTTATCTTATTTCTTCTCAGTCAAGACAGCTAGAAAACACTGGTTTTCTTGTTATATTGATCATGATGCTACCAGTTGCTTAAGTTCAGATTTCTAAATACTAAATCTGAATAATCACACTGAACCATATGAAGTACAGAAGACAGTAAGAACACATTTTGTTCTAATAACAATCAGCTGCTGTTCTAACATCAGTTAAATATGGTAAGAAGTATCTACAAAAACAGATGAACTTAAGTTCAGAACCAGGTGATCCAAGTGAAAGGTCACTCCCTGAAGAACTTTCTTACTGTTTTCTGCAAAGGATAGCAGAACATAATCCCAGAAAATTAATCCAATGTACACTAGGTTATCTCTTAAGGTATGAAAAACTAATCCCAGTTGCTAACTTACCTTTCACAGCAAAAATAATGCCTTCAGGTTTACAATGCTTTCCTAAGCTACCTGGAATGCTCAAACATACAAGGCAACACTCACCGAGAGTTTCTGGGTTCATCTCACTTGCTTCTGTGTTCTGCTTCTCCTCAGCATCATTTCCCCTCCCCATCAGTGATTTCTGCTTCATTTCCAACTGCAGACAGGATGTTAATATAGTTAAAATGTGATTCTCTCTGTGCCTCCATACAGCAAGGCAGGATGAAGACTGTAATGCTTGAAAGGAATTTAATCTCAGGAATAGATGACTGTAGTTACTATTCCCAACTGCAGAGCAAACCACCCAGGAACCTAAAGGAGCAGCACCTGAACTGTCAGAGCAGTAACAGCCTCACCCCAAGCTCCTTGAACTTTGTAGGCTGAGGCCATTCCCTGTCTTGTAATTTGATGTGCACCAGTTCTCCAAGGAAAAGAAGGCTTCTCATTAACCCTCAGCACTCAGGAAAATGTAGACATCTAGTTGTGAGATAAAGTTCTCCAAAAATATGTCACCCCCCTAGCAAGCTCTGTCAGATGCAAACATCACCTGTCATGCAATGGGTAAAGGCAATTAATCATCTTAACATGCATCTGCACCCATTGTAACTCCAGTACATCAACCTGCCAGGAATTCTTAGGCAGAAAAGAGGAGGGAGAAAGTCACAAGACAACAGAATGATGTTTAAGACACACTTCTTTCTATGATATACCTCAAAAGAACTCCAACTGCAATATAAGAATCTTTCTAATTTACAACATAAGTTCTTACTAAAAAATAGCAAAAATGTAATTGATTTTCAGTCAAATTCAGTCCTAACTACTCATGAGGACAGATCTGGGGCTGAAGGAAGGAGAGGAGTATAAGGATGCAATTAAACATTTAAAGTTAACCTATATTCTTTCTAAGTGAATACGGCTGATGGAGAATAACTGAAGGAAAAACTGTTCTACCCTACTCCTTAACATTGCACTGTAAAGTATTGAAGTAAATGACATTAATAAAGATCCTCCTGAGTATTCTTACCATCCATATTCTAATGGAATCAGCCAGGGAATATACTTGTGCAAACTCATCACTCAAAGGCACCTTGCCGCCACTGTTGACTGGAAATGAGAGAAAGAAGAGAGTCCTGTTTATTTACAGTTCCATTTGATACAACTGCTTAACCAAAATTATGCTACAGCTCTCCCTTCATCTCTTAGTCAACACTTGGAATTTTACCTGTAAGAAAAATAGAGAATAAACCTGCCAACTTTCATATGTCATAAATACACAAACTGCACCTTGACTGATTCATTTACAAAGTCAATTTATGAGTATCTTTCTCATCTCTTCCCAAAATTGCTGCCTGAAGCCATGGAAAATAAATCCTCCCCTATGCATGCAATAACACTGATGTAGACTTATCAGAATAATCAAAAAATGCTTAGTAGTAACTTAAAGCTCTAGAGCTGTATTTGTTTTCTCTACTGTTTTACACTATGAATTTCTAGAATGGACTTTCAAAACCAATTTGCAAAAATTAAAAACCTGACAAATCAGTTTCTATTCAAATTGCCCTGACAATAACTATGGAGAAAAAGATATTCAGTCTTCCCTCTTTTATTCTCCCTTTCTAATTTTTCTCCTGTATTCTTTTCAGCATCCCTTCTCCAAACTTTCCACACCACAGGTGAACACAGGTCCTGAAATTACTCTGCCCCAGTAGGACCAGCAGATGAAGATACTGACAGAACAGTGGGATGGATTTCTCAAACACTCATTAATATTTGCCCAGTTCTCAATGTCACTCAGAAAATTAGCTCAATTATCAGACATAGACAAAATGACTAAAGGCAGCAACCACATTAGTCATTGCATCAGTCTTTGCATCAATCATTTTTACTCATAACTTCACAGCTCAAAAAATACATAAAATGCTTAGTGTCAAATGTAAAATGTTTGGTGTCAAAATTATGACAAAAATGAAATCCTTCAAAACCAAGTAACATCTTATTATCCAATACTTCAAATATATCAATGAACTTAGTGGAAAGATGCTGTAAGTTAAAAAGTTGTTAATTTTACCTACTGAAAAATACATTATTTATAATACAATGGCTAGTAAGTTAAAAGCAAAATATTATCTTCTATTGGGGAAAAAAATTTCTGAGGATGGCAGGGCTGATTTCCACAGAATGATATTTTGGAGATAATTCACACCTCCTCCAACCCCAACAGTTAATAACAGAAGTTGCTGCTGGCTTTTTAGAAAAGGTACAATATAGAAAATGATCCAAGAACCTCTAATAACTGGAGCCACACTGTTCTGAATTAAAGCCCCAGAGGACATCTCTACACTCTTTAGGTATAGCTTTACAGAATAAGAGCTTCTGATGATTATTATTTTACCAGTGCCCTGAAGACAAAAATATATGTTAATAAAAAATAGACACTCTAGAGAGAAAGCTTACCTAGTCTGCCTAAATTACACCTTTCTAGAGAACATCTTCTTTAAATTGCCCCACTAAACTGATTTTTAAATGTTATAAACTCAGCTGTAAGAGAGCCTTTTACAAACTGTAAGTCTTCATTATTAAGATAATCTAATAATATTAGAGTTACCATATTTTTGAAGCTTCTCAAATAAATCTGGAGTGAGATACACCAAAGCAGCAAATGTTGAGTTCACAGCTTGATCAACAGTAGGACCAGCAACTATATCTGTCTTTGGGGTCTGTTTTTTACATGCCTGTATAAGTCCTTTGAAAAGTTCAGATTTTTGCCCACTGAAGTCCTGGGCAGGATCTGATTTTGCAAAGTCGGTAAGAAAGTTACGGCAGACGTCGTGGGGAGAGCTCCGAGCCTGCAGAGAAGGGACAACACATCAACACTGGCTGAGAGAAAACAGTGAGCTGCAAAGTCAACTTGCAGTTTGTCCACTGCAGCTTAGAAGCTGATCAAAAAAGACATCCCTGCACAAGGTGAGGAGTGAATTAGATGATCTTTGAAGGTCTCTCCAAACCATTTGATGATTCCATGAAAATGGAAACTAATAAAGGGCACAGAACAACAGTTTCTTTCCTCTTTGGTATTTGAATCCAGCAGCACAAATGTTTAGTCTAGCGCAGCAGCATGAGCTTAAGGGCATCCCAACTCCATAAAGCCAATCCCTGTGTGATCCACAGGGATTTTATGCCAAGGGAACACAAGCAGTGGGTGAGTACCTCGTTTTTGTCTTGGTGCTTGGCACTGGTTTGCCTGGCTCCCGGGAGTGCCTCAGGACACAGCTGATGCCTGAAGACAGGTTTCCACAGAGGAGAATTAAGAACCGAGGTTACTTTCAAAGGAGGCAAGTCTGCTTCACTACCTAATTCTGCAAGAAATTCAGAACAGATCCTTCAGTTACTAAGTAATTTTCTTCATTTTTACAGATTATTGAAAATAATAAACTTTAAGCATCCAGTCAGGAAAAAAAACCTGACAACAAACGCACAACAAAACGTTAATGCAAATAGACTGAACAAGTAATTTAACAATGTTCTCTATTTTTCTAACATGGTACAGAAAACTGATGTACTCTTTCATTAATGGCAGCATCAATATCTTACTTTATAGTGACAGTGTTACAATATGGAAGGACTTTAAATCAAACATTTTCACTGTATTATAACTACAGCAATTTTCTGATTTAAAAGAGTTTAAAAGCTATCACTCCTACTAAGTACCTAATTTGTTATATGCAAGCATGCTTATATTAAAAAAAGAAGAAAATATTCTCAAACACTTCAATTAGTTCCCTGAATTCACATGTAAATAGCTGTCTAATTTTCCAAGGTAAATTTGACCCATCTGATTGGAGCAGGAACTTTTAGCCTTATTTAATTTCTTCTAAGTGGTGGATGGATTCAGAGTTAGGAAGCTAGAGAGAAGTGTTCTTGCTTTGAAATTAATAAACAGTTTTTTAAAAATTATATATTAAAATGTAATGTACTTATCTTCAAGGTCAAAATCCTAACTGTACTTAACTACTGTAATTAACCAAACTTAATTTGTGACTTCCAATTTCATTCAGTACCAAATGCTCATGTGAAACTTAAAATCCTTTGTGTCCTAAGCCCTGTAATTTTTTCAGTTTGTTGGCTCTATATTCACACTTCCAACATGGGGTGGATGACAGCAGCAGGGAACAATTTTAAATGGGAAAAAAAAAAAAAAAAGAACATACTACTTCATAAATGTAATTTAGCTTAGTAGGATTGTTTCCATGTGTCCACATCTTCCATGGCCTTGCAACACAACAAGTCTTCCATGGATTTGGAGCACAGCAAGTCTTCCACGGATTGGAAGAGAGCAAGTCTTCCATGAATTTGGAATACAACAAGTCTTCCATGGATTTGCAACACAGCAAGTATTTCCATGGATTTGCAACAGAGCAAGTCTTCCATGGACTTGCAACAGAGCAAGTCTTCCATGGACTTGCAACAGAGCAAGTCTTCCACATTCACGTGAGGGAAGTACACAAGGAACTCCAACTGCACAGGGGATTCCCAGCACCAAGGAGCCCTTGCAGCTCCTCTGTGCAGGAAGGGAGCTGTGGGAGGCACTCACCTCGCAGGGATTTGAGGGCCATGCTCCGGGAAGCCAAGCGCCCCATCAGCCGGGAGACAAGCAGCTGTAAATCCAAGCCCCAAGACACGGCAACGTCTGGGAGGCCGTAAGCAGTGACGGAAAACTTGTAGCCCCACTCATTATTACTGCTGTCAGAGTGAAAGAGAAACTGCAGCCGTGGGCCAGCCTTAAAGGTCACTTTCTACAGAGCAACAAAACAGTCATTTTGCCAAATGTACATGACAGGAAAACGTTTCAGGGTAATGAATTCCCTTCAGCAACTCTGGGGTTTCAGTATTATGTTCTGGCTATAATAGATCTAATTTCCCCCACTATCTCAATGAGAAACCCACAGTGCTAAGCAGGTAAAATTTCTATTCAAGAGCTTAATGAGCAATATTATATATGATTGAGTTTTAAAAGTCAGAGCCACAAAAACAGAAGAGCAGCATCCCATTTGAGGACAGAGCACAGACTCAGGAAGGGCCACACTTGTCTTATGATATAAAATCTTGCAAGGGCAGAGCAAATTTTACCCATGTATTACTGGCAGTTAAACATGATTATTCCTTTTCACTTTAACTGATTGATCTTTTGATAACAGGAGCAAAGAGGGATTCTTTACTCATTCACTCCTTTTATTTGCAGCATTTCAGACTTCCCCATCTCCTACCCCCCACCAAAGAAATCTAATAAACACACCCATGCACAAAAGCACACACCCTTTAACATAACAGGATTCCACAGGAATCATAAGGACTTCCTAAGACTGGATAAATAATTTGCTTCATAATTTTAAAGGTGCTCACCTTAGGCCATTTCTCAGTGCCAACCTTTGTATCGTAACGAGTTTTTGCCCCTCTGGCATCAGTAAACTCCAGGTAATCATACCTGTGAAAATTGCAATTCATTACTTCCAAATTTACTTTTTAAGTTTTGGGGGAGAATGGTTTTGCTTCTGGATTTTCACAAGTGCTGAATCTAAGTGCACACTGTCACTTCTTTCTGAGCCACACCTTCATGTGACTGCTAAGGAATTTATTTCATGTTTCAATGCAGAAGTCCCAGCAAACACAGATCTGCCATCCTGCAGGACTTTGGAATTGGTAATGGATGCTTATCTAACATCTGGCAAATGCTTTAACTAAGCAGTAGCCTGATGTGCTACCAAGAGAAAGAGGGCAAAAAAAAATACCACAAGCACACACTGTGGTGGTCACAGCATTATTATCAAACAGCTCAAGGCTAAAGGAAGCAAAACTCATATGAACAGTATGTCTGTAAATCTGCCAGGAGAGGTTGCTTTCAGCACAAGGTCATTCAAAAGTATAAACTGTGTACTGCTCTGGACAATGAAGAAATTGAAATGGCACATGTGGAGAGCACATTGAAACATGAATTGTCCCCTCTGTAAACGGACACTGGAATTTAACACAGCACAAGATTAAATTACCTCCTTTCAGTTTCACATTTTTCATCAAATTCCACCTCAAAGTAAGTTGCCCCATGACACAGGAAGACTGAGACCTCATGGCAATTATTTTCATAGTTATGAGGTGATTCCATTGTCCAGGTTCTCAATACTACAGGCTGCTCCTGCTGCCAACTTTCCATGTCTGTCTGTACAACAAAAATGCATTCTTAGATACAAAGGTAAGAAAGAAATAAATTACCACACTAGATTTTTGTGTCTGTACTTTCAAGTTGCCAGATGTGCATACAAATGGCATTTAAAAGGCTACAGCATTGATTTACACAGAAATTAGCTCTGAAGACATCCTTGGTAATCATAATAAGGAAGCACTTCTAAAGCAAAACCCTCCCAGTCCACTGGAGGAGGAGACTGTCTCACCCACAAGTGACTACAAGCCTCCAGTCATGACAAAGAGACACTGGATGACTAAAGCAGATTTAAACATCTATGCTACAGACATATAGATTTCATTTGCATCACCACAAGCAGTGAAGCTAAAAATGTTAAGCATATACTATTTTTAATTTGTTTTTCTCTTCACCCACAGAATCCCCTCTTTCCTATCCACCTTCCAGGCTGCTCATTCCAGTTGCACTTTCTGACCACTTTCCCTTATCAGCAGATATGTTTGTCATTCTTCACTCAACATTTCATTACACATCCTACACTTTCAGAAGATTTCTAGCTCTTTTCCAATGCTTTTAAACCAACAGAATCACCTCAGTTTTCTGTCTTTCTTGCAGTTTTGCTTTTGTTTCAGAATATTTAACAGTGCCTGTGTTCTTAGTTACCTTATGAGGTTCACTACAAAGGCTTTTCAGTGGTTCTATCAAAGTGCTGAATCCCTGTAGCAGAGTACAGTACGGAATGTCTAAAGTGCAAAAATCCAACAAGAAGATGACCTAGGAGCAAACACAGGTGTCAGGAAAACGCCAGAGCCACAGCCATGCCTCCCAGGAACAGGACAAAACCCCACAGGTCACTTACCAGCTGACGAGTTGCCATAGCAAACACAGAACTACTTATTTTTTCAACTATTGTTTTGCCACTATATTGAGATAAGAGTGACTGCAAAATTGTTCTGATATTTGACAGGAATTGGCCCACATCTAAAGAGGAAAAAAAAAGAAAAGAACTTTTTATAGCTACCTTAAAGATTTGCTCCCACAATTCACTTTATCAAATATTAGGTGCATGGTGATGTGCACAAGGACAAATACAGCAGGAAAGAATCTGCTGCCCCAAGGCTGCAACATCCAACACTTCAGAGAAGTTTTCTGTGATATTTTTATTGTGGAAACAAGTCATGCTTATCAATAATATCACTGAAAAAATAAGGGATGAGTAATTCCCCAAGATTGTTTCAACAAGCTCCATGCATCCAGTAGTCTCCATACACTGCTAAGAAATGCAGCTGAAGTAAAAATGAGAGTAGGAATTTTTAACTACAGCCTTATTCCATTTTTAAATGTAATACAGGAGCACAGCAAATTTATTTATGTTATTTGTATATAAATATTGTTTAATTTTACATAAAATTACACCTTTGTTAAGTATTTGGCCCAGTTAACCCAACACTGAGCTGCTGCATTATAAAAATCTAACAATCCCCCCACAGAAATAAACAAATAAAACCCCTTAGATGTACCCAGCTTCTTAACCAACTTCTTGCTATTACAAACATCCAAGAAAGCACATATCACCACCCAGGAGTTTACCAAAATATGGGACGCTATGAAATTAAAATGTTCAAATGAAAGCCTGTAACTATTTGTTGTTTGGGGTTTTTTTCAGTATTTGGCCCCCAAAACTTACTGAAATGCTTTCTGAAGATTCTCCCAATGCAGGATTATCAATACAGATAAAACTCCAAGTTGCTAAATATGCCTATTAATTATTTCCTAGAGAGATTAAAAATGCTATGACAGTTCTGAGTATGCCTCAGGCAACCTTTGGTGATCCCTAATTATACTGCAATTTGCAAAATCACATTTCAAAGTTCTGCATTGCCCCGTATTTAATTCTGTAGTCAATATTGCCCCAATATTAATTCTTTATTAATCCCAGCACTTACAATTTTTAAGTATTTCTACTGCAAGATCCTTGGCTGAATTATCAGTGCCTTTAAGCTGCAGATAGCACCAGGAGAGGAGACTGCCCTGAACAGACCAGAATAAGGAAGACAAGACTGTGCCACTCTCTTGCTGTGCAACATCCAGCATCATCATTTCACACTGAAAAACAAGAAACATTCATGAATGTAATGGAGCCTCCTCTGCTGCAGCATGACACACAGTATGCACCAAGTAAACTTGGATGGACACAATCATCCCACTCACCCCAGAAAAAGATGAAATGCAAATGACAAGCAGCATGTAACACCCTGTAGCAAGTGATGGGCTTTGTTTTGATATATCACAACTTTAAATAGGAACAGCTACATATGAGTCACTTGATGTTCTCAGCACAGTTTTTCTGCATATGTAAATAACCCTCCTTCATTTCTACCTCCCTTGGTGACATGCTCAATCCTAGCCTCTCAAAATGGAATGGTTCCTGCAGTATCCCAGTGTCTCTCCATAGAGTCTTTTAAATGCTATGGAAAAACACCACATCTTACATATTTCATACTGGAAAAATATTATTCATTTCCTACTCTACTATTATGAAATGTCAGTGCTTAAAGGAAAATACTTAACAGATTGGAAAAGCTAATCCTACTGACTTGCACAGCCATGAACAGTGGTATCCAGGACAGGGAAGCTGTTTCTGAGTATCCATGGAAGCAGCTTGTGCTTGAGTGCCTGCAAAGCTCATGACAAAGAAACAGGAGCAAAGCCAGTTACCTCTCTTGCTGCCACAAGCAGAAGGGTGTCCATGACTGATAATATTTCACTTATGTCAAAATTTGCAGAAACTCCTTTCTCTGGTAATAATAAGAGTCCACCTGGATCTTGATCACTACAAAACAAAGATATTCTTACTAACCAACAACAAGGAGTTCTAAACAGTTCCAAACAAGAAATTTAGTATTTTTTGTGTCAAATCTGTAGAGATCCTACTGTGTAATTACAATGAAAGTCAAAAGATTTTGTTTTGATGACTCCAGACTAATTAAATCAATACCAACCATCAGCACTGACAAACAATTACTTTAAAAATTGGAAGACAGCCTAGGAGAAGCCTAAAGAACAATACACTGTGATTTCAGCACCAATCTTGGCCAGTGTTCTACAGAGCTATTCAGTTAATAAATATATTGAGTAGTAGCACGCCCTTTCTAAACAACATTAGTTGATTACTTCAGAGAACTATTGTTCAGGGGAGTAACATTTCTAAAAAGGAATGAATACAAACTTATAGACAAATGTGGGGTATCACACAAATATGCTCAATTTCAGGACCCCTTACCTGAAGTGGGTACACAATGATCTGAAGGCAAGATGTACAGATTGCTTATGTTCTTGCTCTGTGATGTTTTTCTAGAAAAGGAAAAAGATTTATATTTATGATACATTCTGTTTTCCTCCTCTGTGACAAAGAATTCTAATTTCTGTGTTCTATTATTCATTTTTGTAAGAAAGGCAGGGTTAGCTCCTCTTTCTTTGGATAAGCTGCAGAGAGAAAAGGGGAAGGGTAAAAAGAGGCAAAGACAAAAAAAATAAAAGGTTTTTACTTGAATGGGACAAAGTATGTATTATTTGAGAATAACAAGTCAGATTTGTGCTCTTTTCTGCATAAAGAAAGCAGGCACTAAACAAACAATTTCTCATTCAATGTTTACCATCATGGTGAAGAGCTGGTGTCGCCTGGTCTGTCTATCTGGGAAAAAAACTGCTGCTCCACTGAGTAAGGTGTTCTTAACTTCCTCTTTCAGCATTTTCATTGGCATGAAGTTACTGTCCCCCATATCCACTACTGCTCATACAAAAAGGAAACAAAATTACAAGTTCTAATTAATACCTCATCTAATATGTTAGAGGCATAACTGAATTAAATGTTAGTCTACACAACTTCAAGCCCTTGCAATCCCATTATACACACAGAAAAGGAAGGGAAACTTTTTAACTTACAGCAAGAAGGATTTATATTAAGAAAGAATGTATTTATTCACCAAGTAAATTAATTCTAGCAAGATTATAACTTGACACTCATCAAAGCTAATACAATTTTCAAGATGTGACAGGTTCTATATAAAGTGTTTTCCCTCTAGCTTGCCTCTGCAGGAGACTCTTCAGATTACACTTGAATAGAGAGTGTGCCACCCTACTCCAGTGAAATATAATGTGCAATTCCCCTTCTCTTCACAGGCTCTAGAATCTTCCCTGTGTTCCTGTAAACCTCACAGTCTACTCATGAGCTCATTCATACTGATATGCAATATCAGAAATAAATAAACCCCAGTAATGTCATAGTCAAAGGGCCACATTCCCTGGTGGTACAAGCAGGTGATACATTCAAAAGGAGTTTTCTATTGTAGCTGTTTCCAGACCACGTTGTCAGAAAGTCTACAAAACCATTTCTCTGGGCCAAGGAAAGCTTCTAGTGATAGACTAATTAGCAAACACTGACCTGAAGGAGAAACAAAGGAACAGGAGCTGACTTGGCCTCTAGGAATGAGTATCTTTTCCCAAAATTTAATAGACAAAACAGTCAATATATATTGAATAAAAATTACCTTCACACAAATGTCTATAAAGCTCTTCTGCAGCTTCTATGTGACCAGCTGTTTTGCTCTGAGGAGTTTCTTGAGGTTTAGCAGTTTTATTATCTCCAGTAAGTACAGAGAAGCAGCTCTGGAGAAGCTGCAACAGCAGTGTTTGAGCAAAGATACATTCTTCCCTTGGGCTGTAAGAAGACACATAACAAATAGAATCAAAAACTGGAAAAGCAGCTCTTTTGCACCAAATAAGTATTGCTGTGAAAGTCACCATTTCAGATAGATAAAAACCACTGAGTGGAGAGACATAGCCAAAGGAAGTGGAGCTACCAGCTCAACTGATCTACAGCTTGAGCTTCTATATAACTTCATAGTTAGAAGTCCATATGGCAGCAGCAGGGAAATGTTATTTATGTAAATGATGTCGTTTAGGAAGAACAAACTGCAGTAACTAAACAAAGCATATTTTATTTATACACACACACACTGATTAGAACTTCAGCAGACACTAAAAGAAGAAACTTACTTTTGGTGCAGTTTATTGTAAAAATTCCAGAACAGCTGCAAATCAAGGCCTGTGAAATCTAAAAATGACTTGTATTTTAATCCACTCTCCTTCTGCTGAACCTTAAAAAGGCAAAGAAAATGCAGGATTGGAAAGTTATATCTATACAGAACACACTTATAAAACACAAATCTCTGAGCACTGGGCTTAAAGGAAAGTACAGCCATCTTTCCTATAAATTTGCAGTTAACATGAATTTCAGTTTAAGTTTTTTCATGGACATTCTGGTGCCTAAACGTGACAGCTCAGGCTGAAACCTTCTTATTCACAGAATCCTCCCTTCTTTCTGGATTTCTAGTATCCCATCCCTTTTCTCCACCACCAGAACATTTTATAACTTCTATCTCTCCACCTAATTTAACTGGAAGTAAAAAGCCTTCAGCAACACACATATAATTTTATTTTTCATAAATAAATTTTTTCCACAACATGCTTTTTAACCTTGCTTAAGAGTACCCCAACTTTTCTTTGCCCATTCACAACTGCTGTTTGCACAACCTTATTCCTTTTAGCCTGGCAAAAAGAAGCTTAAAAAAACTCTAAAGAAGTAAAAATACCAGGTCCTGCGCCAGCTGCTGGATGAAGTGAAGTGTCTTCAGGAGCAGGGTTGTGCCACAGACTGTGTCCTCCTCAGTTTTCCTGCACTGCAGGCAGCTCATGGTGCTGCAGGGCTCATCCCGCAGGGGCCGCAGGTAGCCCAGAACGCTCAGCCCTTGGACCCCGAGCCGTTCTGCCGAGTCTTGTCTTGTGCACAAGAACTTTATCATCAAGTACTAGATGGGTATAAAAATAGCATAAGGTTTGGGTTTAAAAGCTAGGGTTTTAAAAGGCATGAGTGCACCTAGGTGAGGATTGAGGGGGGAAGCTTTAGTCCCTTGTCTATCACCTCCAGAGGATTAAAATACTGAGCCTCAGATTCAGGCTAAATTTGATCTCTCCCTGCTTCCAAAAAGTCACAGGGATGGTTCTATGACCTCTACAAAGTTTGTTAATTCATTATCAGCTCATTCATTCTGCACACACTGCTCCTAACCTGCAGTATTCTTGCAGGTTAAAGAATTATTAGCTGCTTTTAAAAGCAAGCAGAGGATCAATTTGTAATATTTAGAACATACTTTGATCAGTCTGTTCTCAGTGAGGTGCAGAACAGAAAGTCCTGCCATCCACATGGACTGGTTACTCTGCAGCAGCAGTGACTTGGCAAGCAGCAAGAGATTCAGAAAAAATCCCAGTTGACACAACAACTACAACAGCTGATTCCAAAACCATGATCAGAAATGCAATGTTCCCTATAAATGCAGCAAGCACTTGAAATCAAAACCATCTTCTGCCATTCTCAAAATGAAAGTCTCCATTCCCCAAGGACAGCAGCCTAACTGATGGAAATCTTCATAATTGTTTGCCCACTGAAACAAGGATTGAAGAACCTGGCTCTGAAAGAATAAATGCTATGACTGCACAGGAGTTAAATGGAATACTAGAATAAAGCAACAATCATATTAAAACCAGTTAATTTGCACGTTATCACATAACTTTGCACTAAATTTGATCATGAAGCACCACTTAACTACAGATATATATATATATATGTGCATACAGAAAAATAATAAAATTCAGAGGACAAAAGTTGAATTATGCATTTAACTAGAAGCCTATTAATTTTTTTCTCCATTTAGTAGAGTTCTCCCTCACAAAACAGAATTAGGTTTATTTCAGTTGACATAGAAAAGAGCCCCTGCTTGTTGTGACTGGGCCAAGGGCTTTTTGTAGGTTCTTACTTGGGAAACTCTGCATTGCTGCATTCTGACATCAACTTCATCCCATTCTTCTTCTACTTCAAACCAGCCAATAGGATCATCATCTCCCAAATCATCACATGAGCAACTGCTTCTGTGTATAAAAGAATGTAACACACTTTGTAAAGAAAAAGTTCAGACACATTGCAAAGCTGTTGATACTCTACCAAAATACTTAAGAGCATGTTATGGCTATAGAGATGAAGAAAGACAGCAGAAAGTTTCACAAACCCAAAACTCTATCACAGTCAAGGTTAAAAAAAAAGAAATCAAGAAAATCCTTTCCGTCATTGCCCCTTAACCTCCCCTTACTCCGAATCAACAGTTCTGAAAACTGATTTAATAAAACTTAATTTAAAAATTTCTGTTATCATTGATCTGCACCCCAAGTAAGTTTGTTTGATAATATCCCTTTTATAATAGGCCTTTAAATCAAGGGGTATATGTAATATATACATATTTTGTTCAACACACCAAATTGAGGCTCATTAAAATCAAACAACAATTAAATGATGTTCATTTTTAAGTCACTTGGAACAACAGTCAGTAGTTCGAGCGGAACTGCAAAACAATCAAATACAACATTCCCTTCCCATGTATGCATTGCAAAAATCCATTTATACCTGGTTTTTAAAAACTGCTTGAATTCCCTCAGCTTCCATTTGTCATAGCTCTCAAACCTTTTGAAGTGCTCCTCAGCATGGAACTTTTCTGAGGCACTGTTGTACGCAAACACCAGCCCGCACTGCGCTCCAATGGCGCCTCGCCGCACCTGAAGGGCAAAGACACACAATGCAGGAAGGAAAATAAAGAACTGATGGAAAGCAACCAAATCCTGACAATCCTGGTCTCTGGAATTGCACAGGAAGATGAAACACATTTAGAGAAATGTTATGAAAACTTCTGTAACCCACTGAATTGAGATCATGTACATGATCTATTATTTAGTCTATTTATCACCCTGCCACCACCCTTACATTAACTAGAATTCCACATATTAATTCCCTTTTTGTTTTCCTCTTACATTAAAAAAAAACCAAACTAAAATTATGTTTCCTATTAATATCACTACACTGCAAAACAACTCAGCTGCCTCTCCAGCTCCAGTTAAAATTTACTTGCCAGAAGTCCATTCATGTTTAATCTCTTTGATATAGAAATATGCATTCTTGCTCTGGGAATTAAATAATACTACTGCTTTGCCTTAAGTAAATAAGTCAATTCAGCTGCAGAAACCTCACTGAAGTTTTGTCTTGGCCATGAGATTTAATCACAAGACCTTTCTTTGAAACCAGGTAACAGTCACACCAAATTCAAATTACACTGGTGTCTCTAACCAGAATTTGAAATAACTTCATTTAATATGAACTCACATGCTTTGTATATTGATTCCTGCTATTCACAGAGTCAAAAAGTTATTTTAAACATAAAAGACCTTGCATATAAATCCACACACTTCAGAGAGAAACCATAAACTAAAGAGTCTCTGGCTTGAAAAAGATATTGCAAGATACAGATAAAATCAATATAAAATAAATGTCTTGACTACATGTTTTTGGCTCCCTGTAACAATTTAAGACCTTCTTTTCCTGAAGTTCCCTGACTTACACTGAAGAAAATCTTTAAAATAGCAGTATTCAATAATGAATTTAAATTTCAGTTCATATAAAAAACATCCAAATTAAATTCCACCACTAGGAGAAAAAAGTAAGTCTTCTAAGCCAAAAGCTCACAGGAATTACATACCTTTAATCTAATTTGTGTCACTTGAAATGAAGATTCAGTTCCAGTAGAAAGAATGATACTTGCTCTGGTTTTCCCAGTTTCAGTAAGAAAACCTAAAGCAGCAGTGGAACAGAATGAGTCTGAATGAGTGAATGAGCTGAAGGGGGAAACAAAACCACAAAGCTTTTCCAGTGAAATGTTCATTAGCAAATGTTTCCAAATAAATGGGACTACTTTAAAAATTGTATTTTACACAGAACTCTCCAGGCAGTATCTCTCTGGGCACTGCAATATCTGCAGTAGTTTCAAGACTATTTCCTTATTAAAGTTTATTAATAATTCCCAAATATTACTTTGGCTCATGGCTCTATTCACTGAACTCAGTGATGTCCCCCAAACTGACCCACAAAACAACAGTAGACAAGCCACAAAATTACTAAAGAATGAACTCAAATAATGCACATGAACTAACAGAGGTGTAAAATAAGCATTTAGAAAGTGCCTGATTTTCTGTCACAATGGCTTTCATTTACCAGCAGCACTGCATAAGACAATACACTATTAAAAAAAAAAGAAGATTAGGTGGCATTTCACTTAAAAAGGAGGTCAAGAAACACAAATCTCTTTGTTTAGGTTGTATCCAGTACATAAAAGCATTGCATTAACAAAGAGAGGCTTTAAGAGAGAATTAATAGGTATGTGCAGTGAGAATTTCACTGATTTCTACAAACTCTCTCCCATCAATATTTGGGAAACTAAAGAGAGATTCATGACTTCAGCCCACAAGGTGTGCTCTAGGAGAATATTCCCTGTGGCAGCTCACTGCTGACTTCTACGTAGAATATTAATAACTCTCTCCAAAATCCAATGTTTTTGTTTGGTTGGTTTGTTTTGACAATACACCGGTTTATGAGAATTCCATAGTGCTGCAAAATTGAATTTATATATTGTTTTCATTTGGGTTTTTGTTTGTTAGTTTACCTTTTTTTTAATTACAAATCTTCCATAGCATAAAGCTATAAAGCTAAATATATATCTCAAATATATATAAGTAAATATGGAACTCCAACACAGCATTGTTAACAACCATGAAGTTTGGTGGAATCATCTAAATTAAATTATTTTATGATTTTAATGTTTTGGATTTTAAGTTCAGGCTCTTACCATCCCCAGTCCATGGCTCTACAAGGAGGTTTTCAGGCCCTGATTTATCTTCTTTTCCCTTTACATCACATGCTTGCAGAGTGAGTCGTAAAGGCTTTCCTAAGTCAAAAAATCAACAGGTTTATCAAATTCATTTAAACTGGTAGAACATATTTTCCATAGTTCTTCATTCAGAAAAAAACAAAAAAACGGAAAAAAACTACAATGCTATGAGATTTTTACCACTGCCAGATCCAAAAAAGGGGAGGAAAACTGGACTATGGTAGATACATTAATCTAAGGGAGTTGGTGTTTTAGATACAGATAGAAGGACAGTGGAATTCATGACAACTAGTGTTCCTTCCACTGTTGCCACACTTTGGAATTCACAATCCCTTAAATACCCCTTGTTTTACAAAAGACATTAGCTACTCTGGGGAAAATGAACCAATTTTCAGAATTTTCAAAAGTAAACATTGATAAATAATATATATTACATATTATAAAATAATCCATGTGTTCTTTGGCACAAGACAAGAAGTACTGAAAAAACATATTAAAAGGCAAATAAAGGGTAGAATTCTTCATGAGACCAATAAGAATCTCAGAAGTTGATACCTGAGAAAACAACAGATTTATCAAACAAGTACAGCAAATACAGCAAAATCACCACCTGATGCCAGACCATGAACAGCTGTACACTCATGATATACTCAGATTATAAAAACTTAATTTTGACTCATCTTACAAAAGTGAAAAAAAAAAAAAAGAACCATAAAGGGATGCTAATGGCATTACATTTAAAATGCATCTTAAAATTGTACATGCCTGCAGGAGAGAGCATTCACAGAGGTTCACTCACTCAAACAAATGTCTTACTAGAAGAAGAAATATACTTCTTGCCATTTGCCTTTTAAGCAACACAAACACCATCATCATCATCCTGATACAGGCCCATGATCTAGAAAGTTCATGTTTTCTCTCTAGAGAAGATCCTACTTGGTTTAACTCTTCAATCACAAAAAGCTGATCAAGCACCAACTTTTTGGGCAGTTCAGCCGCTAGGTTGTGATTTCAGTGAGTTTTTTAATTAAGAAGATTTGGATAATTTCAAAACCCACCAAGTGGAACAACTCAAAGCTGTATATTTCCTTAAGCCTGCAGAGTTAAGGATCTAGGATTGCTTCATTACCATATTTATAGAGCAGGTTCTGTCTGACTGCTGCCATGGAAGAGATAAGGGAGGAAGCCTTGTATGGAGTGTCCAGATGATCAGTGATGGCACAGAGGGAACTCAGCACTTTGGCAACACTCCCCCGGGCTAAGGCAAAGGCCAGGAGTGTCAGCTCCACCTCTGGAGTAGTACAACAACTGTGAGGGAAAACAACAACAATGTGAAAAGAAAATCTGGGACATTCTGGTTTTCAATAAAGACAAGCTGACACAGAATCTCTCAGGTGCCTGTTTCTTGATGTATTTGTATTTTTCAAGATACTAAAAAAAGAGCATGTGAGTAAATATGTAAAAATTTTATTTGTAGACTCTTCCAAACCACTTCCCACTGCATCAACCACACAAGAGTGAATAACACTCACCTTGTTATTCTGATAAGGAAGCTATCTACTTCTTCCAAAACATTTGGTGATAAGAAGCTTGAAAACTCTGTGGAGCCTGGTGTTAGGGATAGAGGTGGCATATGCTGCAGTGCTTTCCTAGGAAAAAGTGAAACATAGTGTCAGGAAACAGGCAGAATTGGAGAAAAGAGCCTCCTAATGTGAATTAGAGGCTTGAATCTTCATGTTTTGAGCAGGCTGGTCTCTGCAAATTGCCTCTGAGTGCACAAAATCTATTTACACAGAGGTTCTCTTTGAAAGGGAACAACAGTATTGCATTCTAGGCAGGGCAAGTTCAATGACTGCCGGGTAGTCTTGAATCTAGTCTCAATCTCAGCTTTAATGAGACAAACACATCAAGGAGTTTTAAATTAAATCTGTGATAGCATTACAAATAGGTTAGTGTCCAAGCACTGCTTTATTTTAAATTGGTCTAGAATTGCGCAAGAGCCTGTGAATAAAGTGAAAATTTATTTGAAATTCCCTCAGAAGAATAAGAGAAACTAAGAAAGATATTTGTTAGCTCAAAACAGATTTTTTCTGAATTCCCAAAGATATTATGATAATCCCCGAAATCAGGAATTTTAAAGCAGTTTCACCAACGTTATTCTATCCAATACTAAAGTTTTCAGTATTAGTTATTCCTCCCAATTCTGAAGTTTGGGGGTTTTGCCTTATAATTTTAATCAGTGAATCTAATTCCCGAAAGCATGATTTTCATCAGCATTTCCCCATTATAATTTTTCAATGCTTTATTAGCTCAGTGTTCATGTTACATTTCTAAAAAATATCTAAACTTCACCAAAACTGAAGGCCCTCAGTTTCAGCAAAGCCTGCAACTATGAGCCTAAGGCGTCAGCATGTATGGAGTTATCTTAACTTTGAAGAGATTTCACAGATGACATAAATTAAAAGATAGGCTTAGTGGACTTTAGCCTGCAGGATTCATTAACCTAATGACAGCCCTGCTCTTCAGCATGGTGACATCGTGCTAACTGAGCTCTGTAAAAGCTCATGTGGGTGTGGAGAGGTTTTATTAGGATTCCAATCCTTCAAGTCATCCAGCAGAAGTGCTTGGTAATCTAACAAGGAAACGTTACACAGAAAATGGTCAATCACCACGAGCAAACATTTGCATGGAGATGGTGCATACACTCAACTATATCCCCATAAAATGCATGACAAGGCATTACCCAAGTAGAAATCTGCTGAAAAGTAAGCTAAATTGGGCTTCAGTCCTAAGGGGACTATGTTAATTTTATTGATTATTAATACAGGACAAGAAAAATTAATTAATTTTGGGTTGCTCAAAGTCATTACAAGTAAATGAAAAATCTTTTTTTCAGTGTCTATGGTTTAACAACTAGATGAAACAGACAGGAGAATTACACTTGTTCTAGTACATGCAAATAGATAAAAGAAAAACATCAAAAATCTGAAAAATGAGACAGAAAAAGATGTTTAAACACCTTAATGGGGGGAATGCAAACCAGTCACATACAACAGATTGCTTCCTAGAGCCAGAAGAATTTTTTAAAAAACGTAAGTAGATAAAAATCACACCCTGTGTAAGTTTGGTACTCACTGAGTATTCTGTAAAATGGTGTGAACAAATGCTGGGTTGGTTTCCATGGAAGCTGTCACCAGAGAGGTCAGCAGGGACCAGTACCAGATGGCCGAGGCATCGCACACGGACACTCCCACCTTCTTCACGCGCTGGTAGCCCACAGCCCGCAGCCCGTGGATCCTGGTGTCACACCCATCACTAAGGCAACGCTTGATGTTTATCTGTACATCTGTCAAAACACAAGTTAGAATTTTTGTCCCATTTCTTCTGCTAGATTAGAGTTAGAAGAATCCAGCTATTCCAAATATTCAATTAGTGCGGGACCTCTTGGAAAAGTAATGGCAGATATGGAACAGCACTGCCTGATGTGGACAGTCACACACACTGTGCACCCTCTGCTCTGGAAAATTTAGCCTTTGCATCAATAGCCTGTGCATCCATTACAGATACTATGGCTAGAAACTAGAAAAAATTGTAATAAAATATCCTCAAAGTGGAAAATAGATTGTAGATTATTTCACCAACACCTTCCTACCGACATACACAGGAAGTGTCTTGGAAGCAAATGGTTGTGGAGATAATAGGGATAAAGGCAAAGTTTAAAGTAACATAAAAATTTTCACTCAAGTTCTTGACCATTTTGCACAGATGGCATTGTCCTGATTACTTTTGAGGAAAAACATCCTTGCTGCCCACTTTTGTGGCAGTGAAAGCTCCTCTCAGGGAAAAGCATCTTTTGTGACTGAAGGGACAAAATTCCTGAAGCTGCAGAAATCATCTTAGGAAGGAGCAGCTTTTCTTGATTGATTCCAATATAGCACCCATAGAGCTACCAGAATCAAAAATAACACTATTTAAAAGCATAAAACCTGCCTTACATTGGACCAACTTCAGAGTTTCAGTACCAAAAAAGAACAGATTTTTTGCTCGATACTATCAGCCAACATATGCTTTCACTCTGCAAGCAAGGATATTTTGAAACTGCCGCATGTCTTTACATTGAAAGGCTAAAACTACATCTTTAGTAATTTTTCTCTTCAACCCTTAATTCAAGTTGCAGAGGCCACAAGAAAGGCTCAGAAGACTCTCTTACAGGCCAGAAATTAAACTAGAATTAAAACAATTCCTCTGACCCAAGGACACGGCCCAAAGTGCCACCCCTGGTGACTGACACTTCAACACATCTCTCCATGATCTCCCCAAACTTTCACCTTGCAAAAAGCACCAAAGCAGTATCCCAATGGTATCTTTATTGACTCACACATCTGACTAATGTTAGCGTTTTCCAACAGTGTTACGTAGCCAGTGATATTGCTCGGAATGTGAACATCTCGGACCTCCTGGAGATTGCTGGCATTCCTTCCCACTGCCACTGTGACTTGCTGTGGCATGTAACTCTGGTCATTAGCTGCCACTGCAATGGACAGGTGTCTCAAAACCACATCTGGTTTCATCTTTAAACTGCAAGGCAAGGAAGAGAAAACAATTCTTGCAAACAGAAAGTAAGTCAAGCACCGTGCTTTTATTATTATATATCATATTATTATACATGTGTCTATATAATAGATATTATAGTTATTCGTTTTCCTCATTATTATTATTATATATTTTCCTCATTATTATATTTTCCTCCTTATTACTCATTTCCTCCTCTACAAACACAAATAAATCGTCTGAAATGCACCTAATGCTTCACACGTGTTTCTAACCTCACCATGGTGAACAAGTTAAAAAATTTTGATTTAGAAAACAGTTGCCTGAGAGACTGAATTTTCTATTTATATTTTTAACTGAGAATTCATTCCTCAAGAATAAAAATGCAATGTTAATAATGATTAGAATGAGATGTTTTTTTCCTTTGAAGCACACATTCTTAGATCTACCACTGAAAAAAAACCACTAAACATTTCTGTTTCATTGAGCATTTCTGTTTCATGGAACATCCTGGACAGTGGCAAAGTGTTTCCATTCAACCACCAACCACTGCATCTGTGTTACAGCTTGGAAAGCTTCACTATACAACAAGGCTTTTTGTCACCACAGCAGATGCAGGCATTTTACAGGTGACCTTTTATTTGGCAGTCAGGCTTTTAAATTTTATGCAGAGATTAATGATGTCTGGTTTTATCTGTATTCACCTGTCACTCATTAATTCCAGTTGTTTTCAATTACATCTGTATTGGGTTTGTGTGACAAGGTTTCAGCAGTGGGAGGCTACAGGGAAGCTGCTGGAGGCTGGACCTTTGTCTCCATGGGGAGAGCAGTGTGCATTGGAGAGGTTTGCTGGCAGGATTTGTGATCCCATGGGGGACCCGTGCTGCAGCAGCCTCTTCCTGAAGGACTGGTTCCCATAGGGGCCATTCACTTAAGACCTGGACTTGATGATCCTTGGGGGTTCTTTCCAAGTCAATTATCTGTGTTTCTGTACCTGCACCCCATGGGAAGGACCCACACTGGAGCATCATGGAAGGGACCCTACACTGGTGCAGGGAAGCATGTGAGGAGTCCTATCCCTGAGGAGGGAGGAGTGGCAGAGCCAGCATGTGATGAACTGAGTGCAGCCCACACTCCCCATCCACCCGTGCCTCTGGAGGGGAGGAGATAATTTCTCTTCCTTTTTTTCTAAGCCTGGGAAGGAGAGGGGGAAGATTTGGTTTTGCTTCTCCTAACCCCACCCTGATTTAAAAACTGAACTAAATTCCCTGAATCAAGTCTGCTTTGTCTGTGATGGCAGCTGGTGAGAGAGCTCTCCCTGCCCTTGACCCAGGATTTCTCTCCCTTGCCCACTGAAGAGGGGAGTCATGGAGCAGCCTTGGGGGCAGCTGGCATCCAGGCAGGATCAATCCAGCACAAGCCCCCGTGGCTGGCAGCACTCAGAGCCCCAGCCCCGAGCTCACCGTATCCAGTGGGATCGAGCGCTCCCATCCGACTGCCAGAAGGAGGACGTTTCTCCGTTTGTCATCTTGTCGATATCGGCGGAATTGGAGGAGGTTTCGATGTGTGTGTAGCACTTCATGACAGATTTCAGCTTGTCTGACTCCTGATTACCATTCAGATCACTGGGGTATTCTGCAAAAAAAAAAAAAAAAAACCACTCAGAATATTTTTTCTTTGGCCTGTTTGGAGTATTGTTATACCCTTGTAAGAATTATCTCACACAATTTAACTCCTTGGCACAGAACACAGCCCCTGAAGGACTGTTTCTGATAGAAACTAGAAGACAGCAAAGTTTCATTTCAGAAGAAACTGCAATAATCTCCATCTATCACTCTCAGTATGAAAACACCTCCATTCCCTAGAGTTCAATAGCCTTTATCTACCCCTTTCATTACTGGCCTCAACAGTGCTTTATTATTTTTGTGCCCAAATACAAACAGATGAAAGGCAAAAGTAAATTACAATGAGGAAAACTTCAATTCATGTATTTTAGGAAAAGGACAAAGCACTCTCTTTCCCACGTAACTTGATCTATTTCAATAGAAGTGCAGAAATCTGAAAATTATCTAGTCAAGCTGTAAAGAAAAGGAGCCCTCCCTGTAGGGACCAGGCCAGTCCAATCAGAGATACAGTGTAAGATTCATCACCTCCAGTCCAAAATAAAAAAGTATATTTTAATGCTGAAGAGTCAACTTCACAAAACATCCACCTTCACAAGGAAACTAAGTTTCTAGCAACTAGAGAAGATATTTCACTGAATACAGAATATCACAAATGAGTAACCATTAATTCTGAAACAAGCCCAGAGAAAGATAAGAACATTCCGGAGCGTTACTCATATTGCTGGGTAGTTCAGAAATTAATTGATGTGCTTCAAAAAACCAACAAAAATCCACAGAAGCATGCAGATCAACTTCATAAAACATGAAGCCTGTTAGAGGTGACATAGTAAAGAAAGCTTTTTGTTTTATCTGTAGTCTCTTTTTCAAAGCCATGGTCACACAATCATCCTAAAAAATAAGGGAAGACATTGCACACCTCTCTCTTTGAGGAGAAGTCGATCCAAAGAATCCTTCAGCACGGAGGAGCGCATGGTGCAGATGTTGTTGAAGTACTCCAGCACTGGGTAAGGGATGGCAGTGCTGGAGATGCGGTTCCGGTGCAAGAATCTCAGGATCATCGAGGCGTGAAGGCCCAGGCGCTCTTTTGACTCAGAAAATATGTCAATAAACCCTGGAAGGAGACATCATTTCCTTAAGCACCACAATGCAAGAAGGATGCAAAACTATCAGAGGATGGAGCTCAAGTCTGCAATCTCTACAGCAGGAGAAATGTGGAAAGTGGGAAATACAGCAAGGAAGAGTGCAGGAAAATGTTTTTGCCAGTGACTTGAAATGCCTGAAGGAGTTCAAAACAATTATCAAAAATCTTATGTTTATTTTGCTTCCCCAAACCCTTACCTTCAAAATCTAAGTGAAGCAGCTGCTACTTGGTTAACAATCACTCACCCTGAGCTACACTGAGCTTTTCTCTTTGGAACTGTGGATTATTCCTAATGCTTTCCACCAGCTTGGTCAGAAATGTGAGTTCCAGAGCAGTGATACCTGAATCCCAGTGCATATAGGTGCATAGAACAGTACTCTCTAAGTCCTCTCCTCTAAATTCTCTGCAGCAAATTCTAGTGTTCCTTGTCTGATCCTTTAAGGCAAATCCCCTTTAGCCACTTATCAAATGCTTGGAAGGAAAGCCAGTAACTGACACTTATCCCAGAAATAAGATCCTGGAAACTGACACTTTCTGAACTACAAACCATAAAACCTGAATTATGTTTTATCAGGATTTCAAATGCTGAATAACAATATAATAATAATAATAAAATATGTGACTCATCCCCTGGAACAGACTCCATGGAGGATTTATTGCTCCAGTACCAAGTACAAGACTTTATTAGCTGGGCACTCACCAAAATTCTGCAAGGTACATGTTCTGTCTGTGAGATAAACCAAACAGGGGTAAGACATTTCTCAGTCACACAGAGAAGGAAACTGGTTATTTGTGAAAGGAAGTTCTGCATGCAATTCTGGGAAATGTTTAATTTACAACAACTCCACTTGATTAACACTAAAGAACCAAGAACCTTCTGGAGAATGGTTTTGATAAGATTAGGACAAGCAATGCTAATAAAGCAATTTATTGAAGCAGCTTCTCTTCTATGGGGCAGGGCTTGGGAAATCCTTTCTTCCAACACTGCTCTCATACCTGGCACCAGGGAACAAGCTTGCAGTTGCCTGATTACATGGCTCAGCTCCCCCTGAAGATTTGCTCCACTAGAATTCTTGAGAGCCTCCAGCATATTCTCCACATCTACAGTGCCATCTCCTTCAGCATCAAATTGTGCAAAGGCCTGAAGGGTAACAAAAAAAATTTATTTCAGCATATTTCCTTAAAGCAAGGTATTTCGTAGAAACCAAAGCAACAAATGTTGTAACACTATTACAACAAAATCAAAAGAATTCATTCCCCAAAGTACTGAATTCATGGTAACAGGAAGCAGGCTGGCTGGAAATCTGCAGTGTTTAGCAAGTTTGAAGTATTTGCACTGCCTTCTATAAAAGTCAATGGAGTCATGTTAGGTGGAGTCAGCCCATCATATCACCAGTGAATCAGCAGGATCCATCCATGGCTAGCTGGGACTGTAAGGAAGTAGCAAAAAGCTCCTCAGCTGAAGGGTGGTTTGGTTCCAAAAGCCACACCTTCGATTACTCATCACTGCTGCATCCCCTCTCTCACTGCATCCACTCAAAACTCCTTCAGGGTTTACATCTTGTCTTGATTTAAGAAATTGTCCTAAGAAAAGTAATGCTTTTATTTGATTTTTCATTCCATAAACTGTCCTCCTACACCAAAAATCAGTTCAATAGAGTTTGTCTACGTATTTTTGAAAACAGTAGAAAGAGTTAGAAAAGAGTTGGGATTTTTTTTTTTTATTGAAGAGAATAACTCGCAGCTTTATTAACTTTGACCTTAATAAAAAGTTTAATATAAAAAGTCATGTTGAGCATGTACAAAAAGTAACTTGCACAGCATTTCACACCTTTGAACTAACAAATGTACAAGGTATTGTTATTCAGCTGAACCTATAAATCAGAACTAAGTTCATATATATAACTTACTTTAGCTATTTCAGAGAACTCATGATTCGGTGACACACTAAAAATCTGGCTATATTTTCACAATCAGATTTCATTTCGAAACAAATTTCTGTTTAATTACTAAAAATGGAACTTGTTCCAAAAGAGAATGCAGTGTTTCAGGAGCATCCACATTCTACATATAAATTGGGAATGCACTTACAAAAGAGATTTCTTTACAAGCAAGACTGGAGTCTCACTACCCTGAACTTTTATTCCAAGCTGAGCAAATCTGGCCTCTGATAACAGATGATCTCACAGGTGTCTGAGTCAAGGGATCACTGCTGCTCAGGAGGAAACTCCTGCTTCACTTTCTGGGCTTGTTACCTGATTATCAGACTTGATGTACCATTAACAGTACTATCCTAGAGAGCAGCAACCCGAAATGATTAGCTCAAAATAACCTGCCAATTAACCATGACATAATTACACCAGTAAAATGAGAGCAAAGTCCTCAGAAGATAACAGAATTGAAACACAAGTCTTTTAGCTGACTGAAGTTCTCATGGCACTCCTGTGGCACAGAGCTGGATTTGAGCTTGGAAACTTTACAGTGTCTTATTACACACACAGCTGAACCCAAGCTAATAATGATCACCTTTAAAAAATTATTTTGAGCAGCAAAGCTGGTGCTGAGCATCCAGCAGACACCAGGGCCAGTCCAGCCCAGGCACTGGGCAGATCCCAAAACAAAAACCCAACACCTTTGCTTGAGGACAACAAGCCAGAGGGATTAATTCTAACAGACATAAGCAAGTTGCCAAAACAATTCAATGTACAGTTTCACACAATTCTCACCATTTTTCCTCATCCCTGAAGTGAAACTGCACAATTACTAAATGACAAATTGAACAAGTTTTGTGATGTAACTGGTGACAATAAAACACAAGGCAACAAAGCTGAATCTGCTGACACCTACTTTAAACAAATTTTTTATATTCTCACATAAGGAGGATTACTACATATATACTTGTCCTAACATCTTAATGTAGTATTTTGTTATTTTATTTTTAAACTCTTCCTCTGATCTCGGGAGGTTGCACCAAACCTAGAACTCTAGAATTATTTTTTGACTGCTCAGTATAATTTAAACTCCGTATTTGACAAAAACCATACATCATTTCCACTGCTGTCCTGCGTAATGGGGAAAAAAAGTGGGGGAAAAAAATGAGTGTCAACCTGTACTCAAAGAATTTTTGAGCTGAGTGCAGGACTGGGACATGATACAACTGAACAGCAGCCCTACACAACCCAGACCATCCTACTCCTAAATAAATAAATGCAGTAACTCCACACAGTTCCACCCTGAACATGAAGAAGCATGTGAGAAACATCTTTCATAGGAAATGATGGGTGAGAGGGTTGCTTGGAAATACGGCACGTGGAAAAATCAGCCCCTCATCTCACAGCTCAGGAGCTGCATGGCACAAGGTATCTGAAAGGTGACCTGGGAGAACTTCCTACTTCACCCTCTGCTCTCAGTAGAACTGCAGCATAACTGTTGCCAGCCAAAGCTGGATATGTGACATGACAACTGCTGAACCAGTACTAAAAAGGATTCAGAGGTTCAGTTTATATAGAAAACAGATTTTGCATTTAAACATTGTTCATAAAACATCTGAAGTCTGTGCTCAAAGCCCTGCACTGAGAACAGAGAAACTGGAAGGGCAGATCAAACCTGGGTTGTGCCACACAGGACTCTACAGACATTAAAAAGTGAAACCTACTGACCTGCCACCCCTAAACTGACTTCTCCTCAGTGTACAAGGAAAGCTCAAACACCACAGCTCATGGGTTAGTGCCAGAAATGATGACATCAAGGTTTTCCACAGAACTCTCAACATCTCGACTCTGCAGGGCAGACCAGATGTGACCACACATCCGCGCCACGCTAAATCCTGTGACAAGCTTTTTCCCCCCGCCCTGGAGCAGGAAATGAAACCAAAACAAATAGATTCCTCATGCAGAGGAGGATATGAAATACAGATTAATCCTCAAAATATTTCTGCAGCCCACAAAGTTCAGCTGTTTGTGCCAGCAGGAAGAACCCCAATGGACTCATTTCACCCTTGCTGCTGTTACAAATGAAGATGTGCTTGTTACTGGCTCTTCTTGTGAAGGAACTGGAAGTGGAGGCAGCATTTCACCAAGCTACTTAAACCAGTCTGGTAAAAACACACCTATCTCGGCATGAAAGTGCATCTCCTTCCAGTTTCCAGGAGCTTTGTTCACCTGTCAGCACTGATTTGAGGCGTGTGTGTGTGATTGAACAGTTTACACAGTTGTTCTGCTACTCGGGAGCAAAACAAAGACAGCAGGAAGTGACTGCTGAGCCTCAGGAACTGCCTGCACTAAGGAATTCAGACACAGCCACTTTCTCAAGTGAGTGTGGAATTCCCAACAGGGTGTTCTGCTGCATTTTAGATTTCTACAGAGCAAAGCTAAAGCTTAAGTGCTCTAGACATTAAATTCTCCATATCCTTTCCCACAGAAAGGGAAAACTGGAAATCCCAGCAGAAAGGAAACTACTCTCTTTAAGCCATTAAAAGCTGCCCATACCACCTTCTGGCTGTGGAGGGGGATCTCTCTTACACTACTTCCTTACAAGCTTTCCAAAAGTCTTACTTTACAATAAAAGAAACGCTTGACAACTTCACTGCTGGTTTTAAAAAGCTACAATAAAATCCAGAGTGGTAAACTTTGGCTTGCTGATAACGCTAGTAAGTATCAAGAGGAATTACTCAGGCAGGATTTCCTACCTATGTTCTGACCACACCTGTGCTCTCAGCTGCAGCAGCAGCAGCAAAAGCAGAAATATTCCTGTAAACACCCATTTTCTTCTTAAGTGGCTGCTGAGCATGATCACTGATAACTGACATAATTTTTATTTTTTTTTAATTATATCTGGAAGCTGCCAGGCGGCGTATCAACAGCAGCAGCCGCTTTTCCAACCCCGCAGAACCCTCTGGCCCAACCTCTCCCCACCCACCAGGACGCGTGTCCGGGCTCTCCCGGGTGGTGTGGATGGCCCCGGGCCCGGTGACACCGGCCCCAGCGGGGGTTGAGGACAACAAGCCAGAGGTTCCCCCGATGCCCGGACAGGGGACCCCCACCCCGGGAGTGCCCGGGCCGGACGGCGCTCTGAGCAGCCCGGTGTACTGGAAGGAGTTCCTGCCCGTGGCAGGGGCTGGCACGACACGTTCTCCCCGGTTCCTCCCCGCCGGCTCTCACCTCCTCGCTCTCCCCGCGGGAGCCGGCCGCCAGCCGGGACACGCTCTCCAGCACCTCGCAGAACTGCTCCAGGCTCACGGCCTCGTCTCCGCGGCTCAGCCGCTCCTCCAGCCATCGCACCAGCGCGCTGTGGTGCCGCGACACCAGCGGCTCGGGCAGGGCCGCCTCCCGCAGCCGCGCCGTGGCCTCCCGCAGCCGGGCCTGCTCCAGCAGCACCTCGGCCGGCGGCAGCAGCGGCGCGGCTTGGGGCGCGCCCGCCGCCCCCTCCATGCCTTCTTCGGCGCCCTCCTCCTCCTCCTCGCTGCTGTGGCTCGCCGCCGTCCCCATGAGCCGCTCGCAGCCGCCGCCGCTCCCCGCCCGGCTCGGCCCGGCCCGGCCCGGCCCGGCCCGCCTTAGTCAGCAACTTCCCGCCCGCCGCACCTGTCAGCGCGGGGCGCCGCGCCGCCGCAAAGCGCCGCCGCGCCACGCCGCCGCCAAGCGCCGCGCTGCCGCAAAACGCCGCAAAGCCCGCGCCGGCGGCGGGGCCACCGGAGCTTATCCGGGGCTACCGGAGCGGATCCAGCGCCACCGGAGCGGATCCGGCGCCACCGGAGCGGATCCGGGGCCACAGCGGGGCTCAGCCAGCTCCCTCCTGGGGTGACAGTGGCACCTGCGCCCGGTCCTGTGGAGAACACTAAGCCGGGGGCCTCATTAATTCGTAGAGCTATCTCCAAGAGGTGTCAGCAGGGCGGTGCCAGACTCTCTTCAGTGGCACCCAGTAACGGCCGTGACCAAAAGCACGACAGATTTCACCTCAACATGAGAAAAGTTCCCTGAGCCTTTAAAATTGTTACTTAGTATTTACAAGGATATCAGCTATAGATGACGAAGGGATGAAAATTCTTCATATTAACAAGTTGGGCACTGGGACAGGCTTGTCAGGGAGGGTGTGCAGTCTCCCTCTCTGGAGAAACGCCAAACTCACGGGACCCTGCTGCGTCACCTGCTGCAGGTGCCCCTGCCTTGGCAGGGGCTGCTCTGGGCGATCTCCAGAGGGCACGAACAGCAAGAGGTTCAGTGAATGTCCCTGTGAACAACGCCATTAGGAGCAGGGTGGCGGGGCGCTGACACGGGGTGCCCAGAGAAGCGGTGGCCGCCCATCTCCGGCAGTGTTGGAGGCCGGGCTGGGCTGCAGCAGCCGGTGGCAGCGGAAGGTGCCGCTGCCCGGCAGGGGCGGCAGGAGATGATTTTTACGCCGCCCCACGGCTCCGAGCCCCGCCGCCACGCTGCCGTAAAGCGCGCCCTCCGCCCGTCTGCACGCTGCCGTGCGGCGAGGAAGCTGTCGTGCGAGCGGCGCGGTGTCGCGGCGCGATGTGGCGGGGCGCGGCCGCGGCGCTGCTGGGCCTGGCCGCCGCCTGCCTCCTGCGCCGCGGGTTCGAGCCCCGCGCCCGCCTGCTCAGCGCCGCCGAGCTGCGCCGCTACCGGGGGGCGCCGGGCGAGCCCGGGCTCTACCTCGCCCTGCTGGGACGGGTCTTCGATGTGCAGCGGGGCCGCAAGCACTATGGGCCCGGCGGCGCCTACAGCGGGTTCGCAGGTACCTCGTGCGGTGGGTGTGGGTCTGGCTGGGGAGGGGTGGCGGTGCGTGTGTGGCACCGGCTGTCCCCGCTGGCCGGGGACCGTTCATTCAGCCCAGGCTCAGCCCCTGTTCGGGGAGCACGCTCCATGGCTGGGCTGTGTTCCGAGGCTGGGGGCGCACCCTGGCTGGGGGATTCACTCCGTGGCTGAGGGGTTCACTCTGTGGCTGAGGGATTCACTCCGTGGCCAAGGGATTCACTCCGTGGCCGAAGGATTCACTCCGTGGCTGAGGAATTCACTCTGTGGCTGGGGGGGTTCACTCTGTGGCCGAGGGATTCACTGTGTGACTGAGGGATTCACTCCATGTCAGCCATGGAGGGATTCACTCCGTGGCCGAGGGATTCACTCCGTGGCTGGGGGGGTTCACTCTGTGGCTGGGGGGGTTCACTCTGTGGCTGAGGGGTTCACTCTGTGGCTGGGGGGTTCACTCTGTGGCTGAGGGATTCACTCTGTGTCTGAGGGGTTCACTCTGTGTCTGAGGGGTTCACTCTGTGTCTGAGGGGTTCACTCCATGTCAGCCATGGAGGGATTCACTCTGTGTCTGAGGGGTTCACTCCATGTCAGCCATGGAGGGATTCACTCTGTGTCTGAGGAATTCACTCCATGGCTGGGGGATTCACTCTGTGTCTGAGGAACTCACTCCATGTCAGCCATGGAGGGGTTCACTCCGTGGCTGAGGGGTTTACTCCGTGGCTGAGGGGTTCACTCCGTGGCCGAGGGATTCACTCCGTGTCTGGGAGTCTCTCCCTGCCGGGGTCTCACTGTCCCTGTCCCGCAGGCAGAGATGCCACCAGAGCGTTTGCCAGCGGCGACTTCACCCCAGCAGGGCTGGTGGACACCGTGTCGGGGCTGTCACCCGCAGAGCTGCTCTCCATCCACAGCTGGCTGAGCTTCTACAGCGACAACTACGAGCCCGTGGGTAGGTGTGGGTGGGTGTGTGGGCTCACACAAGGGATGGATGTGCAGGTGTGATCCCTTCAGGGACCAGCTGGAGCTGCAGCCAAGCCAGGTCTCTGAGATCTGCTTCCCTCCAAGGGAAAGTTTAATCATTTTCCCACCTGGCTGTTGTCCTGCTTGGGTTGTCTCTGTCTCAGCACAAAGCATGGAGCCAGCGTGAAATCACCGGGATTCAGGAGAATGTAGGGGTAGCAGCACAGGGAAGCTGTTCTGGGGAATGGCTTCTGGGTTGTGCAGCTGAAACTGGCTTTGGTTTTCAGCTCTGTAATGAGTCTGGGCCTAAGCTTATCCTGCATGGAGTTATTAATATGGGTAAATTGCTGCGTGATCCAAGGGTTGAAGGGACGCAAGCTCAGTTCGGTTTTAACAATTGGGCCATAGTGACATCTCCTTTTATTTTTGTCTTTAAATAGCAAATTAAAAAAAAAAACCCACCAGAACTATGCATTTTCCTTGCCTGGAAGCAGGTCTGTGGTCTGGAAACAGGTTTGTGGTCTGGAAACAGGTCTGTGGTCTTAATTGATCTCCTCTCCCAGGGAAGCTGGTGGGCAGATTCTACGATGAAAATGGGGCACCGACAGAAGCCCTGAGGGAGGTGGAGGCTGCCATTGAGGAAGCTCTCAAATTGCAAGAACAAAGTGATGAGAAAAAGCAGCAGTTCCCACCCTGCAACTCGGAATGGAGCTCTGCTAAAGGCACACGGTTCTGGTGCTCCAGGGAGAGGTAAGCTTGTCCCCTCTGGAGCTTTTTTTGGGTGCCCTGTGCTTTGTTCCTGCCTCTCCTGGCAGGAGGGGTGTGGGAAGATGTCCTGCAGCCACCACACTCCATGGGCATGTGAGCTCTGGGACGTGGCACAGTGTGCTGCAGTGGTGCTGCCAGGGCTGGAATAAGCCAGGCATGGACTCTGTCCCTGCCTGAATTCCCAGGGTTGTTCAGGTGGGAAAAGCCCTGTGAGACTGCCGAGCCCAACCATTCCCCCAGCACTAACCTGTGGCCCCAGGTGTCACATCCACACAGCTTTTAAATCCCTGCAGGGATGAGACCTCCACCACTGCCCTCGGCAGCTGTGTCAATGCCTGGCCAGCCCTTCCATGAAGAAATTTTTCCCAGTATCCAACCTAAACATCCCCTGGCACAGTTTGAAGCTGTTTCTTCTTACCCTGTCCTTGTTCCCTGGAAGCAGAGCCTGACCTTCACCTGGCTGCACCTTCCTGTCAGGGGATTGTAGAGAGTGAGAAGGTCCCCCCTGAGCCCCCTTTTCTCCAGGCTGAGCCTCTCCTGTCACACTGGAATCAAAGAATTTACCACACATGCATGTGATCGCCTGTTCTCAGCAAAACAGGAGAGAAATCTCAGTAGGACTGGGATTCAAACCGGTTCTGTCACCTATCAGGAATACAAGCATTAACTTGTGCTTTTCAGACAGTTTCACAGTCTGACTCACAGGCTGACACCACAACATTTTCACTTAAGCCACATAAAAATGAGGTTAAGCTTTGAATAATAATTACCCACATTCCTGTTAGTAGCTATCTCTCAGCTTAGGGACTACTTTGTCTGAAGATCATTTCACAGGCCACGCTGCAAAACGCGTGTGCTTCATGTCAGCCCAGCAGCAGCACTGTGTGCCCCAGGGATCTGCTTCTGTGTGTGCCTGAGCTCGTGGACAGCCTTGGGGCCAGGTGTGATGTGGCAGTGACTTGTGTAAGAGGCTTAAAAGCTGCAGTGATTGGGGAACAGGCAGGACTTGGCCCATAGAGACACTTGGACATAAAGAGACATGATGAGTTAGCTGGGAAAGCACTTTTTCTTCTGCCCCAGTTCTCAAAATCACTGTTTAGTCAAGGCACAGAAGGCCTACAAGAGGCTGCTCTATTGGAAGGTGGCCCTGCCTATGGCAGGGCTGGACTGGATGATCTTTAAGGTCCCTTCCAACCCAAGCCACTGTGATTCTGTGAAGGTGTGTGGTGACTTGTGAACATTTAGGTATTTTGCTGTGCTCCAGAAGGCTGTGATTCCTCTAGCAATGGAAGCATGGAATGCAGGAGTTGGTCACTCTCAGAAGGGTAGGGCCTGCAGCAGCAGTGATGAAACCAGCTCCAGGCCACAGGTTTCTGAAGCACAGCCAATAAAAAGATAAAGGCTGTGGGATGGTGGCTGTTTAAACAAAGCCTGGATGTGGCACCGGGTGCCAGGGTTTAGTTGAAGTGTTGGGGCTGGCTTGGACTCGATGATCTTTGAGGTCCCTTCCAACCTGGTCATTCTGTGGAAGCAAAGCTTACCTCAGTGTTAGCTCTAGTTTCTCCAGATGGTCTCAGGATTTTTGCTAAGGATTCTCTATTGACTGGAAGCATTTTGATGGGTTTGAATTGTAATCGACTTTCACTTTCCGTTCCTAGCGGGGGAGTGCGCCGGGGCTGGGCCGGGGTCCCGCGGCAGCTGCACCGGCCCGGCTCGCAGGGCGCTCGGTGCGTGTGCGTGCGGAGCTCCGGGCCGCCCTGGGGCCAGCCGCGCTCCTCCCGGCACAGCGACAGAGGCGACCTGGATAACCCCCACCTGCGGCAGTACGAGGGCTGCCATCCCCTGGCCGAGCAGTGCGTCCTCCTCACGGGCTGACCCTGCACGTGGTGGGCAGCTCCAGCTCCATCCCTCCCACCTGTCCATGCAAAGGGAGCAGTAACAATCTCGTTATTTGTCATGCTTTTCAACATACAGAGATGGAGGAAACACTTCAGCCACGTTAGTGGCTAAAAAGTCAAGTAACAGGATGCTTTCTTTATTTCTGTGGGAAATATTTCTGCACCTGGGAACAA